CCAGATTATTTAGTCCGTTTCGAACTTTACCAGGTGCTTGCAAGTTTATTTTGAAAAAATACATTTGAGGCACGCTTAAAAGTTGACGTATTATTTATAATTAGAAATAAAAATAAACAGGCCCGCAATTTGGTGTTTGGGTATTCTTGGACTACCTATTGCATACGTTTTCAGCGTACCTCAAATACCTACCAAAAAATATCCACCGGCTCTCCTGTTACTCCTCTCCTTTAACATCCAATTTTAATTTTTTTCGCAGTTTCAGGATCAGGAGCATGAACCCTAGCAAGAACTAGATTTCAACATTACTGGTCTCCCTTAATCCAGCTATTGCAGCGGGCGATTGATGTTTCTTCAAGTTTTCTTTACTCTACTGACCGGGTATTTTTTCACTTAGGCTTACAGGTTTGGACACACTATGCTCGACTTCAAAGCTTAAACACTCGACTCTTAAGCAGGTTTGCCAAACTTTAAATCCAAAGTGATGTACTCTGGGGAGTGAGCAACTATAAAACTTTTGTACTTGTTTATTTATTGAAAAAAATAGCTATAACTTAAAGTAATAAAGTGCAATGTATATACTTATACACTGCAAATTTACTCTATAAACAAACATTTTATTACATGTAAATTTATTGGTTAATACATTCTTAGAAGAATTTTGGTATTCGTTACAAATTACAAAGATGTTCACTAATTTTATGGAAATAAAAACTACTATAAACAGATTGTTAAATAAAATGTTCCGCAATAGTTCCTCAAGCTGCATTAATTTTTCCGACAATAACCTCATAATAGAGAGATCGATAAATAAAAAAAATTTTAAATATATAAATAGGTAAAATTATTGCAGCTCAGTTATAATAATACACATTTTTTTACAATTTTTGTTTAACGTTTGCCGTTATTGTAACCTATTGCACGCATGGGTGCTTTAAATGTTGACGCAGCTTGCTGTTGAAGCTGATATGCTAAAGGGTGAATTTTGAAGCCGTATAACCTTGGTACGAACTGGTTTGTTGGACGTTTTGGTCTATATTCAGGATGAACCATGAAAAGCATATGAGGAAAACCAGTTCCGAAGTATGCTCCGTCGGTGTGATGGTGACGAGAAGATTTAGGTGTGTACACATCCATGCATTTCGGACAGTAAGATTTTACCATCGCTTCTCCAGGTACATCTGATAAGCCTGTAATAAGTACTTCTGTTAAAAGACACATAGTAGCTTATGGATGAAGGATAGAGAAATGTGAAGGTACGCAAAAGCAATTATGGGATACCTGAGGTCAGACACTGGGAAATTCTATTATTTAATCAAAATTTGAATTTCCCAAATTCCTAAATCATAAATGACCACACATCCAGTAAGCTGAATCACTTCCTTTCTGTATAGATGATCACAGCAGATTAGGATTGAATTTAATGATCAAAATGTCGTTGCAAAATACGGAATTAGATGTGATCATTAATAACTATTCTCAGCTTTTTTGCAGAATGCTTTGAATTTTGAAAATTTATTACTCAGAACAATGTAAGACAAGAAAACTCGTTTTTCGTCCACATCAGTGTGGCACTCATTCAGTATCTTCAGTTAAAATTTCAGAGAAAGTGGTCCACAAATCAAAAAGTTTATAATCCTTGATTTCAATTTACCTTCCACTGAAATTTCAGAAGAACTGAGTCACAAATAAGCAATGTACACGGTGGTTCAAATTCGTGGCTTCTTATTTACGGGATAAATGGTGAATTTCGTGTACACAGAGTTGAACCACTATGAAAATGTTTATGGATTCTCAAAATATTGAACTGTTTTGAAATTATTCTTCTTAATATAATCTAAAATATAGTGAAAGAAACCCATAGCAGGAGGAAAACTAAGTATAGTAAAAACTAGAGATACTGCCTTCTTGATTAGGACGGCAGTATTGGGATCTCCTTAATGATGAACGACACAGTGTAGGTTAAATGGGAGCAAAGTTGCCCCTTTTTATGACTAAAAGAAACACATTTCAAATTTTAGTCCAAAATGGTTGCTAAAACGTGTGAGTTTAGACTAATCAAGGCTTAAAATGCAAAAAGTGATTTAATGCTATAACATTTCTCATAAGAGTAAAAAAATTCCTTCCTGGAAATCTTGACAACATAACGGACCAAATTGTGAAGAAAACCTAAGATAGTGACACAGCCGTAGGGACAGAGAGACGGGCGGACTAAGTGACACAATAGTATTTTCTTTGATTTTTGTGGAATTGCGCTAAAATGTGACGATTGATCAAAGAATATTAATGGAAGTAATTATTACTACATTTTAATCACGTACTTAGGCTTAGTTCATTTTGTAATCAATATAATAATTAAACTTTAGTCGATCATAGGTCTGTGGTTAAAAAAAAGAAAAAAAAACATTGTTTGAAAGATCTAACAATTCAATATTGCAGCAACTTTTTTTTATTAATTGGCGCAATAGTGAATTTTTAGATGGTTAAAAGTGCCTTTTGCTCTTTTTTTAACACTTAGATCGACTAAAGAATCAATTATTATACATAACTAATTTACTATTATTCGAGCTATTGCTATCTGTTTAATCATAGGTTATATTGAAAGGATTCTTTAATCAAGCAACAATTCATGATACCTACTCATGTAAAAAAAAGAAAGCGATATTCATATGTCAATAATGTCATCTTCAAGTTGATCATGTTTGAGTTTATCCTATAAAAACGGGAAACTTCCATACTAACTTTTTTCATAAGTTGCGAACATTTAATTTTTTGAAATTCAGCAATTTTTAGTGTTTTTTTGATAACTTCATTCGCGAGGAATTTTCAAATTGTCTAAATGGAATTTTAAATATTGCACCAAGTTAACCAAATCCGTATCTTCGATAACAACAAAGTTACATATGCAATCCCACTCGATCTGAGACACCCTGTATTTGAGCAGGACCAGAATAATATCGACAACTCTATCATACTCTGCTGAGGATTTTGAACTCTATGGATTAAAACAACTGCTCTTTCATTTGATGGATCAAAGACTAACTTTTATTCCCGTCAAACACAATTCAATAATTAATGCTTACATTTAAATGTACCTTATATTATACTTTATAATCATCATACTCATTATAGTCTACAAAGTAAATAATTGCCCCCATCTTCATCAGTGAATTTTTTAATATATTCATTTCCATACAATTAATACACCTTGACTTAAAAAAAAGGTTTTTATTCATAAGCAGCAAAATAAATTAATTTAAAAATAGCATTTCGATGGTTTCATTTGGAAAATGTTAAAACTGTAATAAGAAACCAGATGGCGGACTATATTCAAACCTCGATTCAAACAGATGGAAATGAAACACTGTACCCACTGTTAAGGGAAATACAATTTGGCTACAAAAAACCTCCACAAACCTGTCTTTTATCATTGCATACAAACACTATAAGAAGCTTAACGCTTATGGATCATCCACTACGATTTATTTCCCAATGTTAGACTTCTTATAGTGTTTTTATTCAACGCTCTTATGTATCAGTTAAATTTATGTTATAGATAACCTCCTATGTCAATACATTTGTTTCCGTGGAAATGAACTGTCAAATGTGGAAAATAGATTTAATCATAACATAAGCACTGACATCCTAGTGTATGTTGCACCTCCCTGTTAAATGCAGTGCATATTTTCACGTTAGGAATCTATTCTTTGATTTACATATTTGACTAAGAGCCAGTTAATCTCGAGGTTAATCTCACCTGCTTGATAACCTACACATGTTTCCATGGAAGATATCTGTCACATAGATTTAACAATAGCTTTGTTCGCGGATGCAATTCTGAACCAGTTCAGGAACGATACGCACGCACAGTCTAAATAGTAGCGTTCGCGGTTAACGAATTTGGGATTTACGCTTTACGTTGATCTGGAATTCGTTCAGAAGTCCATCCGCGAACAAAGCTAATAACAAAAAAAACGGTCCTTAACGTACTTGTTGGTTAGAAACTGATCGCTTATGCTCTTATACCAAATTGTGGAAAATGGGCAAGTTAAGATATGTCTAATGTTTACACTTACCTAAGGGTAGCATTGGTTGAGATTCACAATATACTCGCGGACAATGCCCAAAGTCGCCGGATTGGTATTTCTCTATCATTTGCGCAATTCCTCTATTAGTTAATATATACCTAGCGTGTATTAAACCGTAAAGCATCTCAGCAGCTTGTTCTATTAGATCCGACTGATTTGGATTGTCATCTAATTCGTCATCTACTAAATAAAATGCACATATATACCTAACCTAAAAAAAAAGAAAGATTCGGAAGTTATACCTGGTTCTAAGTCTAATATCATATCTAAAGCCTGACGATAATGTGGAACTTGTTCGTTTAAACCCGTTAAATTAAATTTGTCTTGTATGTAGTCCTCATCAACCTGAAATCCAAACCTCCATCTATGCAAATTTCTGTACTATTTTATACATTACCTCGCAGAAAAATTCATTTCCTCTTAATCCACAGAACCAGGAAATCCACGAAACCTCTTCAGAACTGCTCATTTTTCTATAAAACGAAAGAGAAAATTAAAAACGTAAATTTAACGCGTTGGTGGGTGTGCAACTGAAAATTCATTGACAACTTATGTTTACTACTACTACTAGGGTATTAATTTAATTGCATATTCCCTTAGGGAAAGCACACGAGTGAGATAATTAGGGAAGTTTTATACTAAAATACGGCTACCAGAAGGCGGACAGGACGTATTTATTACCTTTTTGTACCTTTATTAGCCACGCTTACGATACTACATCTACGACTACAACAAAAAGGGAAATGTAACCAACGCCATCTTGTGACGTTTAAAAAATAAACAAGGGAATGATGGAGGGGATTTTAAAAATATTCAATTTTTTGCCTTATTTGGGTCTTCTCATAAGATTTTGCTAAACAATTTGGTTGACATTAATACAGGAGGTAATCTTAGACCGCATAATCACGGTCAAATTCAAAGATATTTACGCTAACCAACCGTACGACGGCCTTGCCTCCACTACCTTTTGATTTTATAACTCTCTTTGGTTTGGTCTTGCATTCATTGCAATTGAAATTCAGGTTTCGTAGCAGAAAGTGTACTACAAAATTCGTCCCTTGATTTCACTTTGTACGCGTTAATCTTGTGTAGTTTACGCATGATGACACGTAAATTGGTAAGTACCATTAAAATACTAATAATAATGAACGGGCATTTAGTAGTTTTTTTAACGCAGACTGTTCAACTGTTGTCAGTTTCGACAACGGTGTAAGTACACCGTGTTTCGACATTCCTGCCTACCTAGGTAAATATTACGAAATTTCCGTGCCGAGGTTTACGTAGCGAAACGAGGAACGGGTTTAAATTTCTATTGTTTGTTTTTGTACCTGCTTAATTTTAGCGTTTTTAAATTTCGAATTGAAGTTCGTCTAGTTCCATAATAAAAATTGCAACAATAAATATCTCGCTGACCTCGACTTGTAAATTATACAATTTCTTTGTTTGCTTGATAATGTTTATCGCCCAAACTTGCTGGTTAATTAAACATCTAATTAACACTCATTTTTTTTCATCCCAATTCAACTTATTGGTTGATATCAACTGTAAAATGCAAAACGCGCGATTTTCATTTATGATTATTGTAGGCGGATAGTAAACTATTTTTGTGCTCGACAAATTATGATTAGTTTTCTTAAGTCACAAACTTAATCGGAGTATGACGCATTTTTGTTACACTTTTGAAATTATTCTGTAATTATTGTAATTGTAACTCATTTTTAACAATTTTAGTGCATTTAATAATAAACGTAGTGGCCCAAAGCGGGCTGCAATAACGAATTTTTGGCTCAGTGCTTCATTTGAAAAAATTTTGAACCTAAGGAAATCACTTTTTTGGAGTTTTTTGCGCGACTAAATTTAGCATTTTGATTTTATTAGCAAATTTTTGAATTTCATTTATGAGCTTTTTATTATTAATTTTACGAGTGACTTTATCACATTTTCCATGCATTTATCATTACTCCCCAAAAAGCTATGGCTATGTATTTCTTTACTAAAAGCATCTATGGTTAAAATTTCAAAGAAATATCTCCATAAATAAGAAAGTTGGCATTGCGCAATCGACGCATTCGCTCATCTTATTTTTTCAATGTGCGATATGTTTGCCTTTACCACAGATATACGTATATCTGTGACTTTACTAAAAGCACCTGTAGGTATAATTTAAAAAAATGTTTACGTAAGTAAGCACGATATGTAAATAAGGAAGTTAGCATTGCGCATCCTGCGCATGCGTACATTTTGCCATACGTGTGCTTTTACTAAAAGCATCTGGTTAAAATTTCAAAGAAATATCACCATAAATAAGAAAGTTGAAAAACATTTGCCCAATTGCTATTGCAATGACTCGATAAATCGGTAAATCTAAACAAATATTTCTTTTATGAGTTTTAATCAGGGCGAAAGTACGCAATATGCTGGGCAATATGTTTACTAGACAGTATGGCACCGTTGCAAGGATAAAGTATGCTATAATACAATTTAGTATTTCACGAATACATATTTGGGGTAGGTGTAGTGTACGTAGTATAGCTACAACATGAACTATCAATTAATGTTCATTATCTAAGCCGTTATCACATTGTTGCGCGCGGGATGACCTATTTACAGGAATAATTTTGGAAACGCTGCAGAGGCGTAATAAAGTTTTTCGTAATGAGTTTTTTTTAAGGAGTATCAATATATATTTTATCAGTACATATTTGAAAATGAAAACCAAATATAGTGTTGCATTACTGCATTTCACTCTTACGAAATTTAAATTTCAGCTTTATTCCGTGTGTTATGAACGTACAGGTCAGTTTGCTCTTGACCGATGCAATTACGTGCCAGGGTTACGATAATATGTATGGGTTTATCTGCACGCAGTAGCATTGATACAAGGGCGAAAATAAAAAGAACAGTGACGTGCAGGTCTGTTTCATATAAATTTTGGGAAACAATACAAATTTAAATTCAGTATTTGTTTTGCAAGTAATACGTATTATGTTATTAGAAATGGAAAAATATTAATGTTTTCACATACAAACTCCTGATATAGGTAGTAATCAATAAGCACAAAATGAGACAGTGATTCAAAAAATTCAGCGTCGTAGGTGGCGGTGATACGGTGTTTGTCGTGAACGAGCCTCAATTCACTTGTCAAACGGACCTGTCAATTTATTAACGTTCGTGTGTATCATTGAACTATACAGAGTATACAGGGTGATTCCTATAGTACCTGCCACCGTTTGGGAGCGTATAGGGGGTGCCTAGGGGAGTATTTTGATATAGGACACTTGGGGTCGGAAATCTAAAATAAGGGCGCCAGAACCAAATTTATCTTCTGGAATTTCACGCCTGTATGTAGGCAACCCAACCGACCGACGTTTCGCGCGGAGCGATGCAGAGCGAGTTAGCGCGAGGAAGCGACATGGGAGGGAAGGAGGGAAAACGACAGTCAAAAGCAATAACGTTTACAAGTGTTCAACGTGGCCACCGTTGTTCTCAATGCACTTCCTACATCTAGCCAACTATTATTATACTATTGCCATAGTGTTTATTCACTTGATACGCGTCGTTGCAGACGGGATTTCGTGGGTTTAAACAAAATTCTGATCAAGTGTCAGCCACACATCGCCGCCTGAGATCGCTCCGTGTGCACCGCCGGCCGGTTGGGTTGCCTACCTACAGGCGCGAAATTCCAGAAGGTAAATTTGACTCTGGCACCCTTATTTTAGATTTCCGACCCCAAGTGTCCTATATCAAAATACTCCCCTACGCACCACCTACACGCTCCCAAACGTAGGCAGGTACTATAGGAATCACCCTGTATAGTTCAATGGTGTGTATGTATATAATTAAGCGAATTGTCAGTTACATGGTATGTTCACAGTTAAACTTCCATTGTTAACTATCACACTGAATTTTTTAATCGCTCTACACAGGGTGGGCCATTAGTGTGTGGTGTGGGTGCGAGATTGTGCGTTTATTAACGCACATGTTTAAAATTCATTGTCGGGACATGTTGAAGGACTCTAAGGCTACAATCGGAAAATATTTTCAACGAAGTAGCAATTGTTACACAGGGTAATTTATATCAAAGATGCCTTTTTTAATGTAACCCCCTTTATATTAATATATATTTCGATACCTTGGTCAATTTTTTAATTACATACGATATCTAAAATGAGTCGTTAAGCCGCAATCCGTTATTTTTTAAAAAAAGTAGAGGTCCATTAAAAACTGAATATCGCAGTTTTTATAATAAAACTAATAATAAACTAATAATTGTAAATTTTTTAGGGTGTCAAAAAAGTAATATAGGCGCCATGTGCTCCTTTTGGGTCAAACTTATAATGGTAAAATCAAAATTCGAAAATATTCGCTCACTTAAATGATACGGGGAAAAACCAAAAAATCAATTTCAGAACGACCCTATATTTTCTTAGTTAAAAGAGATATCGAAAAATGTATATTACAACAGTGACTTTATAATGCCTGTTGTTTGTATTTTAACTTCATTTTTTTGTAATTAGTGGACTGAAGGACCATAAGATATACTTTTTGGTTAAATGATAATTTCCGCCCGAACCATACAAATACATAAATAAAAGTTGGGCACGTAACTGGAGTGTCTGAGTGGCTGATTTCGGTGAGCTGCTGTACCGGCTGATGGGGGCCCCCAAAGATTGATTTGGTTTTTAACTTTTTAAATTGATAAGTGCGCGTAAAACTCGTGCATGCTTAACTCAACTCTCTCGCACATCGTTTCGTCTTCGCTCGCCCTTCTCTCTTCATTTTTAAGCGTTTTCGCGAATCCGCCCGAGTGCCCGATTGTACTTGTATGATTTGAATTTATAGCGCGCCGAAACAACTGAGGTTTAAACACCTGTTGAATAATCTGCAGTTTCCGAGACCGTTTCTAAAATAGAAGGTACGACATTAAGTTCTCTCTTTAGTCTTTATACTATACGATGAATGGGATGATATTAAAAAAAATCAAAAAAACTTCAAATGATTCAAAAAGATACACAAATATTTCATTTCAAAAAGATTATTGATTTTTTAAATTTTTCTAAAATCTTTTTTTAACCTTTTTGAATCAATACTGAATATTTTCACTTTCATATTTTTGAAAAGAGAGTTTAATGTGCGGTCTTTTTAGGTTAGAATTTTTATGATACCACCAACAATTACGGAGGTAAAATTCTCCCAAATGGAATATCCTGTACGCTTACTTTATTAATGACAGCTGCATCAAAGAAAACGTGGCGCATCGTCTCGTTAAAATTTAGCGAATTTTTGAGCTATACGTAGACGAATATCAAAATTTGGTCTAGCAGCTGAATCTCATTTATCAGCCACTTTCATTATTTTACAATGAATTTTTATGTGCATATTTACAGAACACATATTATTTTTTGTATAAAGTATACTGTTACCATTGAACTATAAACAACCGTAACTGGAAGGGAAACCGGTATAGGCGACTGCCACAAATGCGTATCGTTGAAACCATGCAACAGAATGAGTTGGTGGTAGGTAGGTATAACTATTTCACTCACTCTCATCGCGCCCAGTTTGTTTATTAGCACGAAATTTGTCAATGAATTTAATGTTACTAGGGTGAGAGAGATAAAGATACTACCACTCGTCTGGCTTCGCTAATTTCCCTTCCAGTTACGAGGGATAGAGGAAATTTCTTCTATGCTGTTACACTGTATGGCTCTATGGAGGAACATAAATCATCAGATGAATTGACCAAATGACGATCCCAAGGAGACGTACTGCATAGCCTCCTTCTCTCCTTTCGTTTGCTTGCTTCATTGAAATACACTGTAAAGAACAGTATTTCTTGCAAACCTTAAATCGCCCTGATGATGTTTCGTTGCACAACGGTTTCTTATCGCCCTAACTGGAAGGGCTCTGAGTCTTTAACGAGCTTTTGCAAGTTGTCAGTGGGTAGATTTCGTCTTACATGGAGGAATCGACTTCCAACGCGTTACTTATTTTTGAAAAATAGCCCGAAAATGTTTTATGAAAATTGATATAAATAATAACAGAGAATCATGCGAATTTTATTTTATATGGGTAATTCTAATGGTTTCTTTCGATGGCGAGAATACGTTACTATCTAAGATGGACAAATGCATTAATTGCTTTCTGAGTCGGTGGACAAGTAGAGGTGGGTGTCACTTGAGTGTTTTCTACTTTGCAAGGAATGTCTGAGGCCATGTTTGTGTACGGAGGATACGAGTCGCTTGGCATATTTCTTTATCCTTTTTTCAATGTCCTTCCCAAAGACACGTACACCGCGTCTGTAAAATAAGTAACACTTTCGCTCTGGTATACATTGAAACGGAATCAACGTGCAAAGTATTGCAGTTGAATTTTGACTTACTTAAGCAATCTTAAGTCGACCACTCTGCACGAATGCATTGCGCATAGTAAGAAAAATAAACTCAGCCCATAACTGCTCGCACCTACAACCACGTCTGATTGTAGTATATCCAAGTGATCCGCCACGACAGTGCCATCTATACCAATTAAAGTTGAAGCGTCGTGCACATGGTCCGGAATGGTACTTATAAATGTCGTAAATTTACATTGGAGAGGACACCAAAAATCTAACATAAGCAGTTCAACCATAAGAGCGGCAACGAAAAACTGAAATGTAAAAGTTGCCATTGGTTCTTTCAGGCCATATTACCTCCATAACTTCCCTAACTGGTTTTTTAAGACTGCGAAAACACGAGGGATGGGGGTTTGAAGGTATGTTCCAAAGTAAACAAAAAACGGCCTTGAGAAACAGCAAATATGCTCCATAAGGAAGGCAACCTGAATCCGCGGGGTTTCTAAATAGGTATGTTCCAGTTGCATTCAAGAAACAAGCCGCTGCAATTGGTAAAACACGGCCCATCCTTTAATTTTGTTTATTATTTCTTGCACTGTCAATTTTGGCATTAGGCGAATTGTACTTGTCAGCTTGTGTGTTTTGAAACAACGCTCAGCCATCGGTGTCTAAGGTCTAACGATCACGTGGATAATTTATTACGTACTTTCATTCGATAGTGGTAGAACTACCAAGCAGAACATTTGCTCTCGCTTTTTTTGCCTTTTTCACTTGATGAGAAGTATGAAGAAGAGGTTAACTTCGAAGAACTAATGAAGCAATAGACGTGAGTCGTGACAGCTTCTACCGTTATTTGGTTATTACTTTGGTTGGAAGATATCGAAGAGAAGATCGAAAACAGAAATTTATGGAATGTCACCGAAAGAAGCGAAAGAACGGGAAATGTCGATGCAAAAAAAACCTGTTCCGAGAGCGGCGCACGAAGGAGTGTAAGTCGAAATGGGGATAGACCACTCAACGAACTGAAAATTCATTAACTTCAAATTAAAAATAGACAAAACATTTGTGAAGTTGATTCCAATTAGGTATATACAGAGTTTTCACAATGATAGGAACAGATTCATTTACAATTTCGGTTTGATGTTCTGGAAAATCCTCGGAAAAACCGTATGCCGATATTTCCATGAGGTCTTGCTTTCTTTGTATCTTAAAATATCACTTGATTCAACATGCATCCGTTTATGAAAAGTATATTGACGATACTTTACTTTTTGGTCTATATGAAACACGAAACAAAATATGTACCTACATACAATATCACTCTGCTACCATCTCAAAATGAATTGGTTCTTTTCATTATGCACTATCTATTCTGAGATAGAGATAATAGAGCACCCAACAAGCTTTTGCAAGGAATAACATACAATTTCATGATGAACAAGGCGAGTAGGAGTATGTCATGCATGTTATAATAAATATTTTTGAAACTACAAATAATAAAATTAATATTTAAAATACATGTGATTCTTTTTATTTCCTTTTTTATTCATTTACTGCTTCAAGATAATTAATGAAAACATTATTAAACATTTATTATAATTATACTCTAAAAATATGTTTTGGTATGAATGTATTATGCAAATTAATTTCCTTGGCGGTTAAAGTAATAATTAACCTTAGAGTTTGTGTTACATTTGAGTTGCGCCATAAAAATCGAGTGATAGAAGGCGATAAAAATTGTTTCGTTTGGAAGCCACCCTTAAAAAAGTCTCTAGAATTTCATGTGTTTTGAGAATTTGCATTGTGTATGCCCTTTTCGATTTTTTTAAAATTCCTACCCCAAGATATGGCGCATCTGTTCTTAGCTTTTCAAAATTTAATTGGGTTTTGTTCACGTTGTATAATATTATGTATGTATTTGCACGAACCTACACCTTTCCTTAGCTTAAAAATATTGGTCATAGCGGTATTTGGAAAATTCATAAACAAGTTCTGTCAAGTGGCACTGCCTTTTTCTGATAATTTTTTTTGTATTAACTAACTGGCCTCCACTTTTCGTATTGTGCTCTTACACCATATATCATACGATGCACATACTTCAGAACTGTTATTTTTCATGTAAGCACAAAATAAAGTTTTAAAGTCTCGCATAATTTCCAAGAATCAGAAGTTTTTACTAGTTCTATATTAGCACACTAATAATAAAAACTGAATTTTTCATTGTGGTTTCGAATTTAAAATTTTATTTACGTGAAGATATTAGAACTATAGAACTAAGTAGTGTATAGGTTGCACGTACAGAGTGTTCCAAATTCGAGGGTGATTTGAAAAGATTTTTGAAAATGACACTTTCTTATTGTAACTTTTTCTCCCTTACCAGGTGGCATAATTATATATTAAGTCTGATGTTCCAGTTTTTCGGTTTAATTTTTTTTAATACGACCCTGCATTTAACTATAACGCAAAATTTGCGCAAAAAGTATAAGGTGGCCTCGAAGGTGGCTATGAAATAAAAGCCTCTGTGCAGAGCTATATCTAGCTGGCATTCAATTTGGAGTGAGCAAGGAATATATCGGAAGGTTTAATTTAATGGAAAATTTCAAGGCATTAAATTTGCCAAATTATTTTAAAGATGTCACCGTTATAAATATTTTAAGACACTTCGTATCTCTTACAATTTCCGAGATCCCAATGGTCACCCTCGACATTGGGACACCCTGAAATTGACTTGTTTGGCATTAACCCCATCAACGTTAAGGTGGAGATTTGATACGGATGCGATTGTTTTAATAAGGTGAAATGAGAAAGTGAATTCTTCAAAAGTTAGAACGAGATGAATGGATTACTTGTTTTAAGCGGGTAATGTAATTTCGTCGAAATTAATTTTTTGATCATTCCCCTAGTTGGGGCGCGCCATATTGGAGTAGGAATTTTGGAAACAAAATTTACAAAATCAGAAAGGACATATCCAATAGCCCATCGGAAGACGTGTCATCAGTCTCGATACGTCGGACTGTTCTCGGGTAAAAAAAGAAACGCAATTTTTGTGAGTTTTTTTAAGAGTAGCTTTTGCGCTCCTCAGTTTATTTGAACAACATAGTTTGTTTTGATCCCCTCAAATGTAACACTCTGTATATGTTGAAAAATGTTATTTACACAATAGTAAGTAAGATCAATTATTTCATTATTTGCAGAAGAATGACTAAAATAAGAAAGAAGTCCAATTTTGAAGGATAGGTAAGTTATTAACAATAGTGGTTAGATTCATGACGAATTTTAGAAGTGGAAATAAGTGGGATCAAAACGTCATTAATTATACATTATGTTGTATGTACAAAGATGGATAGCGCTGATAGTGCGCACGCATCACGCGGTAACGGTTTTGGATTTAGTTGTTTTTTGACTGAAAGTGTGAGTCAGTTTAACGGCATCATCAGTACAGGAAATAAATTTAAATTAGTTTTATTTTGCACAGTCGTTATTATAAACACACCCTGTATATATCGTGTGTCGACAAAGTACATAAAAAATTTTGTTTGTGAATAAGATAGCGATAACCATACCCCCTGAGATAATGGATATGGAAGTTGTCGTCTAGTATTTTGTGGAAAATTGTCACCGAGTAAGTACGTACTGTACCTAATCAAACTATATTTTTTATGCATTAGCACAAGACTTGCACGGGATTTAATTTGGTAATTGTGTGTTTCGGCCTCTTTATGCGCTTATAGACTGTGGTTACCAAAGGTCATAGTAAAATTACATTCATAAACATGAATACTTATGACTGTTCGAATTAGTGCCTTTCTGGGTTAATTACGTGTTAGTGTGAAGAATGCATGAGGCTTAACCGGGGGACGGGCAGATGTAATTAATATACAGGGCGAAAATCTTGTCTGGAACACTGAGTACCTATAACTTGAAAACAACATTTTTTTAAAAGAAGCTTTTTATGGTATCCAATTTTTCAAAAGTTCGCTACCAATCTACGTATTTTAAATTTGTGGTCAGTGGCGTACTTCTGCATAGTCAAGGGGGTACATTTTTAAAATAGCAACTCCAACTACTATTTTCTATTGCATATGCTTAAAGTGCACACCTTTTATGCTAAAGCTATTGCTAAAAGCTATAATGACAATATAGTAGTTGCTATTTAAAAAATTAACCTTGCAGAAGACCAGAAGTACGCCACTGACCACGTATTTAAGGTACGTAGATTGGTAGCAAACTTTATAATTCTTTTATACCGTAAAGTTTCTTTAAATATAAATTCAGTGTTTCAGACAAAACTTCCACCCTGTATAAGCCCATTTATACGTGCCAAGAACACGATATCAGAAACAAAAAATCCATGGACTGTTTGTAGGAATATCTTTCGTTTGTTGATGAAGTTAAATCCCATTCCCTCAAGTAGGTAATTTTATTTTGAACTTCGCTTTACTTTAAAATATGTAGAATATTTTGACAACATTGTACATAGTTCAGGTTTAATGTACATTGAATGCGATTTATTCAATGGCTTTACAGTTTAGTAAATAAGTAAATTCTTGGCGTTATTATTAGAAAGGGAACTATATTTTCGTGCTTATATCTCTTTTCCAGACGACGCTCGTTAAACTGTCGTCGACTTGTCTGACGCTCCCGTCTGGAGCACATCGGCGTCGTTTAAATTGTTGACGCCCATTGTTTACAAAACAAAATTTTATTATTGTATTCTCATTTGCGTTGTTCACTTGTTCTTGATTTTTAAGGTCCATAGCTGAGGTTGACGGAGAAAATATGTCAATGCTTAGCGTTTTGCGTTTTTATTTAAATTATACTCGTCCTCTATTCCTCAATTTAATTTTGACAACATAAAAAATGTGTTCTATAATAGAGATCAAAGATAGAAGATATTACAGAAGAGTTGTATACCGCATGCGTGCTTTCTCTTTCCAAAGAAACTGTTCAAAAACCAAATGATTAAACTACCTGCTTTTATTACTTATTTGAGGTTTTTCAACTTCGACTTTTTCTGTAATGCTTTCAGCTTAAGTATTTCCAAAAGAGCACGTCTATTAGCCGTACAGTAATAAAGAAAACACTAAGCTGCTATTAAAGTACTTTAAGAAGGTAACTTTTGATGAATTCAAGTGAATGTGTACCTATATTAAAATGGCATATAAATGCCAAAAAGTCGAATGCCGAAAAATCCAGATTAATGCATATATAGGTGCAAACAACATTTTTTCACTGAAAATTATCTAATTAACAATTTATGTTGGTGTGAGTATTAATTATGCTACTAATGCTACCGATCTGAGTATTGCAATTTATTAATAATCTGTAGACTAGATACGTGTTAAATTATCTATGCGGTTTTGCACTTACCATATATTTCCTTCATATAATTATATTCTATTGTACCTACTTATTTATATTTAGTCTGGCCTTTGAAATTTATTGCAAGCTAGATTAATGAGATTGTTTACTGATTACTGCTTAATTAGGTGTGGTTGCCTATAATTGGGGAGAGATTTACATTTACTAGTATTAAATATAATAAAACCCATATTTGGAATTTTTTTTCAGAGAAACACTGATGACAATGTAATAATTCCATCCGTCCGTGTACGTGTTACGGAAAGTCGAACTAATTTTTTTCATATCTGCGTCCCTGTGGGGGAAAAATTTGGCGTCGCGGTATTTTTGGGCATGAACATAACAAAACCGAATTTAGTTTTTAAACTTTTGAAAATCCGGTTTAATGATGTAACATTTATAGGGTCAGGAATATTGGGGACATTTCTAAAAAACTAAAAAGGGAATAGTAAATAGTAAAACAGTAAAAAAGATTAATGAAGAAACACGCAAATATTGAGACTCTAGCTAGGATGACTAGGTAACTCCTATTCGAATGTGAAAGTAAAATGTTTTCTAACGTTTACAAAATTATACTATTTTACTTTAATTTGAAAATTATAAAAACTAGACTTCGAAGTGCGCTGAAACCGAACATGTTAAAATCATTAAGAATCAGCAGAAACGGAACAAACAGAAAATATTAAGAATCTGAACCGTTTCGTGGATTTGAAGAAACGAAATAGTGCGAATAATCAGAAATTAATATTCGAACAATTTGTAACTCCAGAATGGGAAGGATCCGAAATTTGAGGAATGCAATGAGTCTGAAGTTTGATGAAATTGAACTGAACTGAAAGAATCCAAGTCAAAAGAAACAGAAGAATCCTAAATCCGAACGCTTTAAAGAATGTGAAGAAACCGAAAAATATCTATGAAAAATTCGAAGAAACGGAGAATCCGATACATCGATAGGGTCTGAATGAATTCGAAGATTGATGAATTGATGACTTTAAAAGATCCGATGGGTTTGCAGAACCTGAACAATATGAACCTGAATGAACTGAAAAACACAATTTAAGAATCTGATGTAACATATGAAAGAACGGACGATGGGAAGAAGGGAAGAAGACTTAGAAAGAATAAAAGGATACCAAGGGTCTGCAACTGAATAGATCCGGAGAAATGAAAGATTTTAAAGAATTCAAAAAACTTGGAAAGTGGTGAAGATGCGGACTAATTGGAACTACAAGAATCTTTTTGTGCGGTATAAATAATCAATTTATTTTTTTAAATAATTATCTCATGGCTCCGATCTCTGATGGATGCCTCTACCTTGCGCCATGCCCGGGTCGTTTAAATTTACGAGGTAGTGGAGCGAAAAATACCGTTCAAGATATTTTTCTCAAACTTTACACATAAAAGTTCCTAATTTTTCGATCGGACCAAAGTTATTTAAAGATGGCGACACTTCTACTCAAACCGGAAGTCGATAATATTAATTTTGTTATTTGAAATGGCATGATCCTTTTTTATTCATGTTTCGTATTCTCCTTTTTATTCTAAAAATACAGAGTGAACAAAATAAAGATAAACATACTTGCATAAGAAAAAGGGTGTCATGTCAAAATTATTATTATTATTATTATTATGAAGTGAATCAAAGTATTCTTAATAGACGTCAAGGCCACCGATTTATTTCGTATACCCATAAAAGGTGAACGTGGAGTAAAAAAACAAATAAATCATGATGTATTAGAGATAGAGGTATATGAATGCTGTATATCAGAAGGAGCAAAATTGTACGGTCATGCCAATGCCGTAATAAAAAACATTTCCTGGAAAATGGAAAATATGTTCGATAGCTATTCTCGCACGATTAGGGCGTTGTGCGCGAGTGCACCATCCTGTTGAAGCCAACACTTTCCAACTTTTGTTTTTTTTTACCGTACCGTACATCTACTTAATAAAAAATGCTACTCAATACAGTATGTACTTTTTTACGGGCCATATACAAAAATAAAATTGATGATTTCTCCTTAACGTAACGTTGTATTTAAAATCTCTCAACGCCGTCTTGTAGAGCTCAAAATAGTGGCAATGAAAGTGTTTTTTTGTATCAGAAAAAAAATAAAACAAAATCGGCAAATTTCGGATTTTCTGGCATATCTTCGGAAGAAATCCGAATTTTCTGGTTTTCTCTACAGCATCATAAATAATTAATAATTACTCTTTAATTGCACAACGTTTTCATAATTTGACCATCTTCGTATGTTCTATTGTTTCCGGGATCCCCATGTATTGGACAGTGGACACAGTGAGCTACATATTATAATTTAAACGAGAATTTAAAATTACTTCTCGACTTCCTATCTCACCTTTTGCTTTTATGACATACAGTAAACAATTACGCGACACGAAGATTTCACCTACAGAGACTATTCCAGAAATGTATGCTTACGGCCCAATACCATTAGGTACCTACTATTAGGTGGCACCTTCATATTAGAATACGCTTCGTAATTACGCATTGGTTGTGAATGTATGGCAAAACCAGGTTTGATACCGAACTTAAACGTATTTTGTCTCTAAGTAAGGATTAGTTGTGTACCGCTCTTTTTTTGATCGGTGCTATCTAATGAATTCTTATCTAATCAGTAACATGTTTCAATATTGCCCGCTATCCGGCAATGCGCAAGTATTCTATAGTCCTTTTTTCCTGTTTTTTTTTATAATTGTGTATATTTTATTGCAGTTAACGTACATTCCGAGCCAGAGGTTCCATTAAATGGTAAAATATGGCTGTGAAAAAACACAATCCTAGTGATTATGGTGAGTATTTAAATATATTTTTATTACACTTGTAGAATTGTTAATGGGTTAATTTGCGTAAGGTTATTCAGAATAACATATATTTTTTCTACCTAAAACATCATATACAGGATGGGCCATTAGTGCGTGGGTTTATTAACGCACATGTTTAAAATACATTGTCGGGGCATGTTGAAGAACTCTTCAGGCTACAATCTAAAAATATTTTCAACAAAATTGCAATTGTTACACAGGGTGATTTATATCAAAGTTGCGTTTTTTTTAAATAGAACACTTTGTAGATAATTGCATATTTCCATTCCTTGGTTAAATTTAGTGTGACTAAGTGACTTTATGTATTACATTATTCATATGATAGGTATCTAAAATGAGTCGTTTAGCCGCAATCGTGATTTTTCCATAAAGAAAATCGAGGTGAAAATTGAATATCGCAGTTATCATAATACTTAAGCCGTGACGCTGTAGTGTTACTAATCATGAAATGCACTAACATACGCCGAACGGTCAAAGTTAAACTTTTTTTGTGTTAAAAGAAATATGCGAAGGAAGTATGCAACAATATACAGGGGGTTCTATTTAAAAATTGCAACTCACCCTGCATAACAATTTGTAATTTCTTTGAAAATATTTTTAGGTTTTAGGCTTCGACAATGAATTTTATAAACATTTTGATTTTATGATAACTTCGGGAGAGTTGGAATTAAAAATGACGAATTTGATTCATTAGCAGTAAACGTTAAAAACAACAAATAATATGATTAGGACAAAGTTTTGTAGTTTGGAGCTTAACGATAAACATATAAACACGGAGTGCATGCATATTAATGAAGTAGGGATCGAGATAATAATACCTATAATATGACTTTTATGGGAAGGGATCGCATGCATTGGTTTTCCCAAAGGGAACACGTTTTAATGTAGTGAATGTGGGGAGGTATTAGTTTCGTCATATTGACCTATATTTGCATACACAGTGGCGCCGCTAGTATTATTTCAATGGGTTGACCAACCTGGGACCAATATGTTTTAGGCTGGGCCATAATTCTCTAGACGTGTACTATGTAGGAGAAGATGAGTATCAAAAAATGAATTTACAAATACGAAATAGTATATTACGTAACGAGTGTTGAAAGCGATACTTTTCACACGAGATGTGAAGGTTGCCATACGAGGCGAAGCCGAGTGTGGCAATCACACGAGTGTGAAAAGTGGCTTTCAAACGAGTCATGTACACTATTTTTCCTACGACTCTCCATACAACAACCAAAAATCTACTTACATAATGAAACAAAAGTTATTTTATTTCGAACCAACTACTAAAACTATCTAAAAATACGAAATAGATTCAATTTCTCTTCAACGAACTATTGTTATAATTACTTTAGCAAAGAGGTACTTGTCGTTTGGAGCTTCTGCCAGAAATTTACTAATATTATTAGACGTACGCTACTTTTCATATCTCAGCCGCAATTTAGTTGGTAGTAATTCGAGTGTAGTGGATTTTGCCTCTTCCCTGATGTTGGGTGGAGTACACTCTACATCCATGGAAGAATCACTTTTCGCCATTAAAATTAAGTAAGGAATTAAACGCGTAGCACAAGGGAATAAATTCAAGAATAAACTAATCGCAATTACAATTTTAAAGTTTGACGTACGCTTACTACGTTGATGTTACACGAAGATTAGACTACTACGAAAGCAAAACGTAACATGCGATTTGCTTTCTAATATATGGTAAATCTTATGAGAAAGCAAATCACACGGGTGCGTTTTGTTTTCCGTTACATTTTGCCATAAGTGAGCGAAATTGTCAATTTTCAAGTAAACATAATTGTACGACATATGTCATTTTCAATGAATGTCGTAGGAAAATTTATTTATTTCGTATTATCAAAGAGCTTTGATATTATTAATCAAAGCAGTTTGCATACCTAAATGGCAAAATCGAATCCTGCTTCTGTTTACTTCATACAGTGTATGCGTGTACTAGTAGGGCAAAGGTCGGAATTTGCTCAGTACGCCAAAAAATATTTTCAAAAAATTTGATACGTAAGGTGACGTGAAAAGTCAATACGCTATTTATTAGTACTATACCATTGAATAAGTAATACTTACGCAATATCGTATTATTTAAATGTAATACTATGGTAGGTAAGTGATAACGGATGGAAAAATCAAGTACGTACTTTTTGCCCATTTTACTCTATATATCAAGATAATATTCAAAAACTGTGCATATGCATTATCAAAATAAAGTGAATTTGGAGAAATGAGAAAAAAAGTGAATCGATTCGCGGACCATATTCACGGCGCAATCCGCAATTTCTTCAGGGGAGCGGGGGGCCGAGCAATACTACGGGTGGACCAGAGCCCACATGACCCATCTCCTGGTGGCGCCACTGTGCACTCGGAACACAATAAACAGACTAAATTGCACTATATTATAACGTAAATTTAATTACGTGAAAATTACTCATTGATGAATTTATAACAGTCCTTAGTAGATTCGATTTATAGCAATTCAATGTCTTACTTGCAGATACATTTATAAAACTTAACCCGAGTGTGTATTTCGTTATTTATCACTTTGACAACGATGTTAAGACTAAGATTAAATCCAATTCAATTTGCCATATGGCAAACAAAAAGCGTCTAGAGAATTCCTTATCGCCGGTGACTAATCATTTGTAACACTACCATTGTGTGATATTTTAACATCAATAACAAGGCAAAGTAAAATTATGTGGTACAATAAACCTAGTCACTTTATGGATAAAATTCCAGTTACCCTTAGACTTCCTATTTCGAGAACATTGTGAACGACTTTCGAATCTGCGTTCCATCATGATTCGCAAGCATATAGATAACGTGGATCGGAAATCGAAAATAAATGTCTAGTAGGTAGAAGTTCATATAGTATCTAAAGTTTTTTCAGAAATTGTGATATTGATAACAGAGCAACCTCTCGGGCGCGTTATTCTCAGTAGGTTAATGACTATTCATTTAATTAATATTGCAGGAAAAACTCAAGTATCTACACGACTGTGCTATCACACAACTTAATGGAAAGTATAATTAGGTACCTACCTGTCTGAGTATACAGATTTTTTAAACGGCGACACTAAATTCTTGAAGAAAGAATTGTAAATCCACTTACACCTTGTTACAAAGCGTTTCTCAGACACGAAACGACATCGACAATGCATTTTCAATATTAAAACTAAACAAAACTGAACGTTTTTAATTAACCATAATCGGCTGTTTTTATCATTTACCAATTCCTGTGTTTGCTTATTTTTGGTTTGAGTTAATAAATAAAGATTATTGTTTAGTTACGTTCGAAATGTTACCGTTTTTGAACTCTAATTGGTTTAATCATGGAATGGATTAAAAAATTACTGGAATTTAATTTGTTTAAGTTCTGTAAGTGAAGCGTAAACATCTGCTTAGATTTAAAGTAAAAATCAGAGGCCAATTTTGAACACAGAGGTATTTTTAATGAATTTTTGGCATTTTGGGAACTAGCATGTTAGTATGAGTTAGCATAAGCAAGGGAATCAAAAGCAGACGTACAGATTCGGGACGATGTTAACATTTCGGTGTAAAATGGAGTTTTTCTGTTTTTTCATTTTTAGTACCAGTCTCCTCTCCCTCTCTATGCTCCCTTGCCACTCTATCAATTATTATTATATCTGGTGTAAATACAATATACATAATATATGGACAGGACAATGTTTCGGAAATTATCGGTAAATTATTTACAAGTAGGTTTTTAATAAATAATGATAATTTAATAATCTGTTAAGTTCTTAATCAAAATGGAAATTCTCATGACAGTTACATGTATTTTATCAGTTCATCAATCCAACATGAATGGTGCAAAATTTATATTTTATCTTTTATCAGTGAGTCAGAGTATTAATAATAGTTGAAAGTCATTGTTCACACGTTTACAAAGCCTTGTAAACAATTTCAACCCATAATAATATACTTTTATTTTATAGTTATATAGATGTTAAATTGACATTTTAATAGGCTTGAAATTGGTCGCTCTTTAACCGTAAAAGTAGATAAAGTGAAACAGATGATTATGCATTCTAATGACAGTCATTCTTATTTCAAATGGGACCCGGAGCACGATATAATTACGTTCTGAACATATGACAATGCGGTTTCTATGGAAACGACCACCGCGACCGCAGAACCTAAGCTTGCTATTTCTGCCGTCTACATTAAACTCAGAATTGTCAGAAGTTTTCCAATAATTTATATGGCTTCTGCTATAAAATAAAGTTTTGTATTATATATATTGTATATAACTCGGTATATAATAACTAACTATTTTTATCACGCCAATAAATGCTTTACTACTATACTTAACCATGACCTCAGCATAAACATAATTAAGTATTATATACAGTGATATTTATTAAGAAGTATACATATAGTCCGGGCGCTGGTGGCAGTGTGGCATTTGAGGAGGCACGAGAGGATAGCTCAAATTTGATCTCGACATTCGATTCCACAGAAAAAAAATACCCAGAAAACATGTGGCACTTGTACATTTTTCGTTAAAATTATTTTTTCAACAAACTAAGGAGAAGCACTGAAGCAGTCACACAGGCTTACACTTCGCTGCAAACGATAATACCAGACATAATTTATTCCATCACTCTTCTCTGTTAATTTGTTTAAATAAAACATCTCTTAGGAATTATTAACTAATATTTGTTACTTACCTACCAACAGAAACTAATATTTATCTTATAGAAATGAAAATCAAAATACAAAAAACTTACAATTTTCTTTTTTCTGGGGGATTCATTTAATAAATATAGATAATACAGTGATACAGTGGACCAAAGCAAAGACTTGCCTTTAATTTTCAGAAAATGTCGACTATCTTAGATTGATTGAGAACTGGGTAGTTCTAAAAGATTACAACCGGAAGAACTAGCACATGGGAAAATGTTACATGTCACTTTGATTATATTCAGTGATATGGAATTGTATTTATTATGAAGGATTATAACTTGGAAAGCTGGCAAAAATGAGAAAATGTACGCTACTTTCATTAAATTAAGGGGAATGAAATATTTTAGAGGCAAGACTGTAGTCTTCGGTATATTTTTTGGTATTTTGTCTACTGTTCCCATTAGTATTAAAAACGAATCCCGCAGAAAAAAAATGTAAGTTTGCTGTACATTTTCTACAAAGGGATTGTGAGACTAGGCAAAGAGTACTTTGTGCACTCCTTGCTATAAAGGTAGGGGGTGTTCAATACTTTAAATTAGCGACGATAAATTAATCAAATAAGCTTAAAAGGAGCAAAATCATGCAAACCCCCTGGATTTTTTTAATAAAATGACTACAATTTAGAACTTACTACATTTCCCACTAACTTAAATATTAACCCGTACCTAATTACACATTATTTCAAGTGGAATCAAAAAAATGCCACAGTATTTTACACACAGAGGTGGAGGAGACATTCTCTGTGGATGTCTCTGTTATTCTCTGGTTAATATGGGAATGTAACTAACTGCCAAATATGCAATACTTTCGAGCATCAATTACGTTTCATCCCTTCGACAAACAACTGATAGGTAGCATAATTAATGCATACGAAAGTTTTCTAGATAAAAGTTTTATAAATACTATATACCATAGGTACATAGTGGGAACCCTGTATACTATGAGCTTTTAATCCAGTTTGTCATGAAGTACAGAACAGTTTATGGTTTACTACCTATCTAAAAGCAAATATGACAGTGACAGAATAGATTTTGGAATCCTTTAATTAGTAGTATAGGAAATTGAAAATTTTTGATGATGAATATAATAAAATGCATGTTTATCGCAGAAGATATTCAACCCGATATGGTACCTACATTCAATGTTCACTAGTCGTTAAATATAATTGGTGCTCATTAAAGAGGAATGCAATGGTTTCTCTTACTGCCTTATTACATTAATGTTTTCTATTTTACAAGTGGTTAATTATTTATCTGATATTATGCAACTAATTTTAAACTGAGATACATAGTCATATACAGTAACGCTAGGTGCTTGATGATTGTACTTTCATGCAATTATCATATTAGCATCTATTACACTTTCATGTACCTACCCACTACCAATTAAAAACACTGGCAGGATGTGAAGTTTTCTTTTAACAAAAATAATTTAAAGGAATATGACGTGATAATGTGTATGTGTCTACAGGTGAACCTATTCATTATGATCCGGACTTCAATGGACCTCTCAAGAGACGGTCCTGTACAGATGTTCTATGCTTGTTTCTACTTCTAGTCTTCATTGGCTGCTGGGTTGGTATTGGACTATACGGTTTGTACTAATAATAAATGGTTTAACTAACTAACTGTGTTTATTTCCAGCGTTTATGCAAGGTAATCCAGATATACTGCTAGTTCCAGTAGATTCGCAAGGCGCTAGATGTGGCCTAGATAGCCATGTGAGAGACAAGCCTTATCTGTTTTTCTTTGACCTCACAAAGTGCCTACAACCGATTCCGTTTGCTGGTTGCAATACACCACAAGTAAGTGTACTTCTCTCACTTGTTTATGGTCAACTTGTTTGTAGGTTTGTGTTAAACAATGTCCACAAACTTTATTTTTATTAGATACCACAAATTACTATCGGCCTGAAGATATGATTTGTACAAATGATGTACAAGTACCTCGAACAAAAGATGAAGCGTTTCGGTTAGTGTCAGACGGAAAATGTGCCAGATGGTATTTGCATAGTGAATCGGGTAAGTTGTGTGTCAAACTGTCAAAACCGAAGTAGTTATTCCCTTATATCCCTTTGGAAATGTCTTTGTAAAAGTGTATGTAGCTTAACATAAAGTAATTATGAATGTTGCTAATGCATTTCCTTTTACACAGTGTTTAAAAGATGTTTATATAATGTTGCCGATCGTATGAACTTATTGAATTTGGATGTCAGTAGAATACATGGCGATGAAGTTAAATTGATGCAATACCGTCTTGCGTCATCCAATTCATGGCTGGCTTTAGTTACGCAAAGTATTATAAATATCTTCTCAGATAATGATCGTGATTTTAAGGTATTTCTTATTGTTGATTATACACAGTAAGTCTAAAAATGTGTTAATTAAGCAGAAACATTATACAAAACATAAGGGGGTGTGGGATAGGTTTAGGGAATCAATGATTCATACTAAACTTCAAGGGAATGAGGCACTTATACACTTGTCTGTGTGTAGGTAGGTCAAATTTGTCAGAATCATCAGTTGATCTCATGATTGTTGTTTGTAGCCTATAGGCATCTGGATTGTGCCTTAATAGAAATGATCAACTTGTGAAGTGCCATATTTAACCCGCTCATCACACTTGCCATTGTACAGTTTATATATTTAATGATCTCAATTATTTTACTAATATGTGCATGTTCACAGTCGCAATAATTTTTTTAACAAATTCGGAATGAAAGGGAAACCGTTCTAAACTTGAATGATATAAACCTTACCTACCTACTCTTCCTGAAATCAAAGTACACCTTCACCCAACCTCTGCTACCCAGGTAATATGTAAATTTAACGTCGGAAGTGATTATACTGATCTGGCGTGTGTACATATGAAAACAACAGGATAAAATGTTCGTTTGTTTTACAGTTGAAAAGCGTTGCCTGCCAAACATATTTTCACAAAGCGATTTAGCACAATTGACACGCATAGATTCAAATATTACTGTAGAAATGTTAGAAAAAGTGAAGAGTGCTATTAATTCAGTCGTAGATGTGGAGCAGGTAGAGTAATTATTATTAGTTTTCTTTGTGTTTAGTCTGAATGTTTTCGCTAAAAAAGGTTGAGTTATGGTTAATTTGCTAATTTTCAAATAACATGCTTGCTTTTTTGCTTCAATCATTTCTTTACACAAGTACATTATATACCTATACATAAAAATGTAAATAACCTGATTGTTAATGTAGAGAGTTTTGGAATATTGTATGAAATATTGTTTTTTAGGTTGGAAAGCATGTGGTTGAGGATATAATGAGATCATGGTGGCAAATACTACTTGGATTAGTATTCGCTATGCTAGTATGTATTATATACATAGTATTAATGAGATGGATTGCTTCAGTAATGGTGTGGTTTTCTATAGCAGGAGTTTTGGCTGCACTTAGCTTTGGTAAGTATTCATAGGGGTATTATTACTTATCATATACCCTCTACCTATATATGAACATGTTTTAATTAATACCTATAAACAATAATTATAAACTGGGAATCATCATGTAAGTAATGGTCAGGGCGGTTTAAGGTTTTATGTAATAAGTCATACTATGATCTTTGGTCATACTAAACTTAGTTTGACTTAAAGTACCATATGCAATATGTACAGTCACGGATAAAATTAATGATCACATAGAGGCTAATTGCCGCAGAGCTAATCAAATTCATTCTAACTTAAGCAGTGCTAAGCTGGCGATTGGCTTATATATTACAAAAACCGTAATGTAATGTAAAAATACATTTTTATTTTTGGAATGTATGGTAAATTATTTACTACTTTTATGAGAAAAGGTTTAGATGGTACCTACAGATGAAATAAATACCTACCCAACTTCAAGTTCTTAATTTTTTTAATGGAATTTGTTTCTAAGTGTTGGGAAAAGTTATGTAAGTGAAAGCTTGTTGTTTGAAACCCTTTTTTACCTTTGTCACAACACATTGGACAACATAAAAATTATATAGGGATTTTTTTTTTAATGTATACATATGGGCTATGTATACTTAAAAAAATTTGCTGTGACTAGCATAGATACCACACCCACACCTGCGCATGCGCGTTCTACTCGGAAACTTTTCAGCTCTTTCTTTTAGAATATGTGTACCAAATTTGGTTCCAATCTGCCATCTATTCCATCCTGTGATACTAAATAACACGATTCCATGCATTGGATTCGTGTTTTTACATAACCCATATGTATACATTTAAGAAAAATGTCCTGTGAAGAATTCTACTGTACCTTTTGTGCCATATTGGCATACAGAGGAAAATGTGCTTAGTCATTGGTTAATTTTAGAAATACAGTTTTCTCAAACAATAGCATACCCTTCTCTTTTTGATCCATTTGTATCAGGTTGGTACGTCAATTCTGTATCAAATGGAAGTAGTCATTCTGTTTGAAAAATGGGAGTACAAGAGGCCCACTCTCCCACCCAGGATAGAGCGCTAATTACGACAGTAATTGCCCTCTGTATCCATCAGAACTTTTCAGTTGAATAAAATGCAACCTCTATTTTTTGAATCTTAATATTCCAGTCTGCAGTTACAATGTTAAACTTACAATTACCACATTCACCATCTAGCCGGCAGTCATTCAATCAATTCCTGTTGGAGTGACAGTCTTTTGGTGACACTGACATCCACCATATTCGTTTTTATGTTATCGTACCTACCTCAAATTCATTGGTCTTTTCAGAGATCTTAAAAAAACATAGTCATTGTATTTGAGAAACGCATTGAGTTCCGGCACAGAGTAATTTACTCTATGTTTCCAGTTAACCTTTATTTTCAATATACAATCGAAAAGATCATGATGTTGCACACAATATATTATTACTGTTTGGTAGACATTGAGGAACCCCAAAACTTTTTTTAATATCTTGTATATATTTTCCCGGATAATCGACCGTTTCCAGACTTCTCAGCGACATTGTATAACACCGCCGTGATCAGAGACATCAGCTCTTTGGCGACACTTGTCTGGAACCAAGGAGGATGAAGCAACTTACGCTACTCCTTATTGAGAGGAACAGGCTCTGGACCTAATTACGAAACAAAGGGAGTAGACACATTGGGCCTTTGGTTTACCTAAGTGCTGCCCGGACAGGCTCCTCTTGTGAAACGAATAGAACTCTTTTTTGAAGAATAATTCTATGCATAGCTTTACCGTCTTTGGATCCATGGACATCCAGACTGCTGCCTTTGTCTTGTCAGACGATCGTCCCAGACATCCATATTGATGGGATCTTTGTTTCACAATCTAAGCCTCAAAAGTCTTTGCCGTACACATGAACACAAGAAGTTTTTCTAAGTTGGTCTACATTGCATTTGTTTTTAAGCCGTTCTTGAAGAAATTGAATCTCCTAGCCTTTCTCCACCCCACTACTATATGCCCCTGAAAGTTGGATGAAAAAGAATTAACACTATTCAGTCAAGAAGTGTATGCAGTTTTCCTCTGCACTGAACTTTGAGTTTTTTTGTTGGTAGTAAATAGTAATCGGTACCAACCAAGTTAAATGGGTGGAATTATCATAATTCTCCTATGATTTTTAGGTATATGCACTAAAAGTTAGGTATCTATATTAAGTTTCTTTTTAGTCCAGTAAATCTTAGTAAGTGCAAATAGCAGATTTTGATTTTCTATTCACATGAGTGCACCTTTTTTGACAAACTAGGAAATCGGACAGTGCATTTATTTTTATTATTTTTCAGGTATATACATCTGCTACAAAAAGTACGAGTATTACAAAGCTCAGAAAATTTACACTTCATCTGAACCATGGTATCAATCATTGCTGTATAAACCAGGGACATGGTTAGCCTTTCTAATTACTGCAAGTGTCATTCTAGTCATTATTTTACTGGTATTAATATTTTTAAGAAAAAGAATTGTTATTGCTATTGCACTTATCAAAGAAGCCAGCAAGTAATGTAACTTTTTACTAAAAGTCATCTCTTAACCCTCTACTTTTAGGGCAGTTAGTTCTGTTACAGCATCGTTATTTTTCCCAATAATTCCATGGGTGTTGCAAGTGGGCGTTATTATGTATGCAGTTTCGGTGGGTCTTTTCCTGTCGACAGTTGGTTCTCCACAGTTTATTGTAGAGAATTTTGATCCCAATAATTGTAAATGCTCTGGTCCTGCTCAAGCTTACACAGTGAGATCTCCAAATGGAAATACATAACAATTAATTCGAAAACATTGTAGAACAACGCTACCTGTGATCCTGGTATATTTGCAACGCATTGTAAAGATTATTATGGGCGCCCGTGCGGTCCAGCGAGTTGCCATTATGTGGGCACTGATTCATCTGCGATAATAACATATCTGCATGGTAAGAGCATTGTATATTAAACATATTTACAGTTTGTGTTGTAGTGATAAATGTTTTCGGATTTTTCTGGACTATATTTTTTGTTTCTGGCTTGGCTGATATGGTTTTAGCAGCAACGTTTGCTACATGGTATTGGACTTTCAGAAAACGTGATGTACCATTTTTTACAGTGACAGAATCAATAATAAGAACATTGAGGTGAGTATATAACGTATGTATACTATAGCATTGAATACAATACATTAACTTTGAAGCTGTGAGTTTTTACTAACGTTCTTTGTTTGATTGGGTTTTAGGTATCACCTTGGTACTTTGGCTTTTGGCTCACTAATCATTGCTATATGTTCAATGATACGAGCATTATTGGAGTACATTGATCAGAAACTGAAGGCATATGACAATTTTGTTACAAAAGCCATCTTGTGTTGTTGTAAATGCTTTTTTTGGTGTCTTGAAAGTTTTATAAAATTTATTAATAGGAATGCATACATAATGTGTGCAATTCATGGAAAAAATTTTTGTATTAGTGCCAAAGATGCATTCAATTTGCTCATGAGGAATATTCTTCGGGTATTTGTTCTAGATAAGGTACGTAATATTATCCTGTACTTTATTTTGTATCATTAATGTTGTAGGTCACTGATTTTTTGTTGTTTCTCAGCAAAGTATTGGTCACGGCCGGTGTAACCTCTGTCGCATACGTTATACTTGCAACAGATTATGTTAAAATTGTGGATACATCACAGCTCCACTATAATTATGTTCCAGTTATAATAATAGGCGTTGGCACATTTTTCATAACTTTGGTCTTCTTTAGTGTTTTCACAATGGCAGTTGATACACTCTTTCTTTGTTTTTGTAAGTTGTGAAAACCAATTAATTAGTGTACATCCAATCTAAAATCTAATTTATTTCAGTGGAGGATTCTGAAAGGAATGATGGGTCGCCAGAGAAACCGTACTTTATGTCCAAAAATTTAATGCTTATATTGGGGAAAAAGAATAAATAAACGTCTCAATACACAGAAATTATACAATTGATGCCAAATACCAACAAACTACAAATACAAAAACAACAATATTTATAGATTTTTATTATGTATATATTTATATTATTGACTACGAATCTTATATTGTTTATTAAACTATATTGTTAAGAAATGCTATCAATCTTAGTTCCTAATAGTGTGTGTAGAGATTTTCACGAAGCTGTAAAAAATCAATCTCTATAGGCAAATGGTTACTCTTTGCTATAGGGACGCTGATTGTATTTAACATTGTGGTTGTCCAGACGCGCGAAAATTTACTTCTCAACCCACAAGGTTAGAAAAAACTGCCAAATCAGTACAACTACAGTTTACATAAACTGGCTGAAACTAAAAAAATAAACATTTACAAAACCTGGTATATCTTTGAACCTGGCAAATCACGTTCTTTCGAAGTGTGATCTTAAATAAATAAATAAATAAATATATATTTACTGCTCAACAGCAAAGCCAGTTACAGAGCAACATCACAATTAATCTTACCTAGTGGTCACGTGCTAGTAAACACATGCATACTAAACTTAAAACATGTAAGAACAAAAAAAAAGGTAACATAAAATAGGAGAGCATCCATTCACACTGAAATTTAGCTTCATACTGTTATGTAATGACACAATTATAACAAAAAATTATTTCAAGTACCTAGAAAGAAATTATAATTATTTGAGAAATAGTATATTAAGATACAAGTGTATAATCAAGTCTTTAAAGCACGCGCAACGAGTTTAAGGGCACGACGCAAAGCGGAGTGCCTTTAATGTTGCAAGTGCTTTAAAGACTAATTATACACGTGTATCTTATAGGTAGTATTTTTAGCGCATTTTTGAAAAAAATACGCTATTATATTCGTCATTGCTGGCAGGCCGGCTGTCCGCGTTAGATCTCCACAACTACAATAGCTAGAGACTTCAAATGTTCACTAAAAGCTTTCTGCTATAGTGTAGATATGCAGGCACTAGTCTATTTTGAGTTAGATTACTTGTGAAATCGATAATTGAAGAAAATAATTTCGATATGGGTTTCGGAGGTGCTATAATTTTACCGTTAGATGGCGCTACCAGTATAAAAACTTATTATTTACTTTGTGATTTGTTTTACAAAATGAAGACGTACCGTCAATTGAAATTAAATAAAATTAATTATTTAACGCAGCCAAAATTACTCGTGAGATCGATAATTTTAAACTTCGCTAATAAAATACTGACCTGCATTACCAAAAATGCGCTTTAATCATGCATATGCTGATTTACAACTTGTTTATTATACCTGCAGTATAATTTAAAAATAGGAAATACAATGAAATCATATTGACGTTATACTCGCGAATACATGTCTAATTAAGTGGGCTGGGTGTTCATAATTTCACGATTGCCATGGAAGTGTCACTTGACGTTTGCTTATAAAAATCATCGTCTTTGTGAATTAAACGATTTCCGTTGAAAAAGATAATACACCGTCCATTAAATCGATTGTTGTAAAATCTAAACAAACGTTGGTAGGTGTAAAATCCAACTCCAGTAAAGCCTATTATAAAGAATATGAAAAGTTGTTTCCCTGGATGAATAGGAAGTTACTTACGAATACAGTCTTAAATGCATCCATAATGCTGGCATATATGAAGGAAATGTCAAAGGTATTTAAATCTTCTATATTTTGGTGCATTCATACAAAACTTTAAAGCAATGCTGCGATTAAAAAGTGGAACAGATTTGGAAGCATACCCTAAATTACGCGCGTTTGTGAAAGCTTCAACCAAAGGATAGGTACAAAAGTCAAAGAAATGTTCTGCATTTACAGAAAGCGACCTAAGAGGATTTTTTATTTCATCCAGATGACAGTTTAAAAAGTCATACTTGAAGTATCGTTACTTAGCAACTTTAAAGCACGTGTGTTTTAAAGGCCCTTTTTCGCACGCATTTGAGTGTTTAAAACGGAGATTGTGATTCAGGTATAATAAAAAAAACCATAATAGCTACCAGTTATCTACCATTATTAAAATGACATCTGCAGTGTTTGATCCTATGATCATGATGACCGTGAACAAACTGAACATAAAAGTTTTGTTTAGTGATCACGAATTCCTAACCTATAACCTTATAACTGAAGAGGAGCGTAATCATGCAAGTAGGTACTTCTACCTTGTATTCAAATTATTTTCAAACAAAAAATAATCCTAGGGATCACGATCGCGAAGTAACCGAAAGAAAGCGCCTAGTATACAATACATCAGACCTTCAATAAATACTTTCAGAAAAATGTGAAGATTTGTCCCTAATCAACAAATAATAATACCATTGTATAAATACAAGATGTCTAATTAAAATGTATTTCCCCAAATAAATCACTTTCTATACATAGGTACTACTCAAACACTTCAAATTTGAATTAAAAAGTGACCTCATTGCTTTTGTTTTGAGTACCGTTATCGGAATCATATTTCTTTATTGTATTGTATTTAGGTATTCCCAATACAAGTTTATTACCTATATCAGTATGCTGTTTCACTGTACGTTTCGATTTAACTATTCCTTGAAGGGAGTATACCGCATTGTGCAGTTCGATTCTCAGCTATGTGTTGCTCCTTCGCATCTCACACGGACTGCAGCTCATGCGTGTCTTAGCATATACGAGAAGAAGGGTCCTCTAATTTGTCGTTTCTCTGTATGACTCGTTTTAACTATTTCCGATAAGGCAAAGTACCTAACAAAGTTGGATCATTCGCTGTATCTGTTGCTTTCATTTTCGTGGCCGCTTCCGGACGATGCGCCTTTTGTGTGCGTAATATATTTTTATATGTTCTTGTCTTTTCTTACGCACAAAATTCTCCGTTTTATTCAATTCCCTTCCCGATTATTCTCACGTTCCAACACACAAAGGAACCGCGCGAAACGTCCGTCGTTTCGATTTAAAAGTTAGATGGCTTTGCTGGTAGTTTTTTCTCTTGGTCGAGTTGCCAACTGTAAGTATAGGGTAGCAAATCGATTTTGACTATTGATAGCATTAATACTCGCCTCTCTAGCACATTTTCGAAAGTTTTAAATTTAAAAAGGGTCACATATGGCGCACTCATGATTGAAAGCAATTTTTTGTTTAGCAAAATGAAATTCTGAGGATGTACAATGTTATTTATTAACTACGAGAATAATTAGTAAATTTTCATTTTGGTCATTTAGGTACTTTAATTTTAAAATAAATCAAAAAATATTTTGTATCGTTTTTCTGAGGCATCACTTCCTCGATTACATCGCACCCCTAGAGCATTTTAGGCTCTTTTTGAGCACTTTGTAAACCCATCCAGTACATTAGGTACTTACAGACAGATTTCACCGAGGATTTCACTCTTAACCTTATGTTGAATCCCTTTCCTCGCCTCAAAAAAAGGACTAATAATGATACTCGCTGTATAGGTAAACTTTGTAACGCGAATTATAGGTAAAATTTAAGCTGCTTTGGATAATTTTACAAAGCTCTTTAGAAAGCGCCTTTTACAGAACTAATTGACCATAAAACAGCTTTAGAAAAGACATAAAAGGGAAATTCTGATATCCAGAAAGTTTAAAAAAGGGCCTTAAACTCACAAAAGGTTCTCAAGTCTTATAAAAGCCAGTTATGTTTTTGTCCTCAGCATTTTGAATATTTTTCAGAACTTTGTACAGCGTTCTAGACCCATTCTTGAACTGGCTACACACTATTGAAAACAGTCTGATGAAAATAAGTACTAGGAATTGTTTAGTAAACCTCTGGGAAGCACTGAAGAGACGCTAGAAAGCTGAAAAAGGCCCAAGTCACTTATTTCAGCAGCATTCAGTGATTTACTGGGCTGCTGCAGAGTAAAGTTGAAGCTGGATTGCATTACTCAGGGTCCCTGGTTGGCGGTTCGAATTCAGGCTCGGGCATAGATACTTGCAACTGTACTGTACGTGCAGCAAGTTGGATTGGTAGAGCAGCCTTTGCTGAAACCTCACTCACAAAATGAAATAAATACATTTTCCCTACAAATTGTTTACAAATTTTATAAAAAGGTTGTCAATGGGTGCTTGTGAACATTGTTAAATTGAGCACAAATTGAATCAATCGCATTTCAATAATATGCTATTACACTCTATAACCATTAAGGAAAATACATTTAAAGCAGCATTACCACTTTCACTTTTATACTACCTACTCCCTGCAATGCTCTCTTTGGTAATCCTTTATTGCAGTTATCTTAATTGTTTCAGAGAATTAATTTTGCCATTAATGTAATATATCAGTAACATTTACATTTGGTATCTAATTACTATAATCGACAAGAAATAAAAACACCATAAGCTTAGTGCAAATATTTATACTTTGTGCCACTGCAAACAAACACGAATACAAGTGTTTATAGATATCCATAACACTCAATCATAAAATGTACACCTATTTATTTAAAAATGCCACAAAAATTACGACCTTATAATGTTCACTGTAGAAATTTCATCTTCTATAATGGCATCATCATCCACATTTTCAATGAGACCATTCTCATCCGCGCGTGCTAAAATATCACAGATAAGTGGCGATTCCACTCCTAAAATGTATTCGCAATATCTCGGCTCCAGTAAATACAGAGACACAGCATTCACATTCGATGCATTATCCAAACATTTTAATTTAACTTCAGTTTGTCGAGCCTTACCGGTCTTATCACAAACACTACCGTCTGAATAAAGGTGAGACAGCTGCGTTCTTTGACCTTTCGGTTTGGGACGTTTTTGAGGATGCAGTTCAAGCCATTCTAAGTGCTTCGCTTTATTGAATCTACCTAAATTGATCGAGGTTTTACTTCCATCCTTTTCAATATGGTATTGTTCAACAGTTTTTCCGTAACAAAATTCATATTTCCACCATCCTGTGCCGCCGTTCAAGCAATTTTTTCCGGCGAGAAAACTTTCAACAGGTGAAGTATCGACAGGTGCTTCGGTTACTTTTGGCAATTCTTCTTTTTCGTTTAAATCCAATGGGTGAAATTCTACACGAATGTGATCTATGTCCGATCTTCGACGTAATTTTTTACTCTCTTGTATCATTTTCATCATGTTACGTGGTCTTTTTGGATTGTCGTCTAAAGGAACACAGTTAATTTCATTCTCGCCAGTCTCCTGAGGTTTGTACTTTGGATGTGAGCAGAGCAAAGGTGAGAGGATAATAACTTCATATAAACAGGTTGATATCTCTTTAAAGGAAAATATCTCATGCTTTCCGTGGATGTAGCATACATAAACTACTTTTGTTTGCCTGGGTTTATTTTGATTTAACTCACATCGGGTGCCATTACCCATTGTCAATTCAAAATATGGAAGATTAATTCCATCGATTTTTTTAAAGGACAGAGGCACATTTTTGGATTCCTTTTCAACAGCTTTGGATTCCATAACTAGTGTTTCATAGTAATTTTTATCCCAAAAACCGAGGTTATATTCTTGTACCTTGACTTTCTTTCCTTCCCGGTCTTCGTGATACTGCCTTATGTGCTTTCCATGACAAACTTCATAAGTCCAATAAGATTCTAAACGGTAAGAACAGGACGACTGACTGAACAGTGGTGATATAAGCTCTAAAGGAGATGGACCGTCATAGTTATCAGTGGCAGAGAGTTCTACTTCTTGGATATTTGGTAATGTGCAGCGATATTTTTCTTTGTATGCAGTTGTAAGTATTAGGTGCTCATTTTCAGCATTTTGTATACTCAGTTCCTCACTAATGCTTCCAGGCCAGTTGATATCGAAGAGGAGAGTATCATCAAATCCCTTTATATCACTGGTTTCGGTCAAGGTAACCACCAATAGACCAAGAAGCACGGAAATCATTTTCATATTATACGAAGTAGTAGAAATGAGTACTGACGTGTATTAACTTATCTTTAAAATTACATTTTATAAACAAATTAAAGAAACGTCAAAATTGACATAACCTAGAAATACTTTTATCGAATTTTTTTATACAATTCATTTTTCATACTTGCATAGTACTGGAATTGTACATACATACATGGGTATTTGTATACGGGATGAGTCAATCCTAATGAGAGACAACAAAATTGGACATATCATCAAAATAGGAGCCCATTTAATTAAACTTTTGATCTGTTTGTCATTATCCTATAGAATGTAGATTAGTTTGGTATTAGACATATCGATGCACGCATCAATCATTACCAAATAACCAACTAATTAAGTGGTTTACATACACGACATAAACACTCGTTTGAGTACTAAACAGTTTGATTCATAAGTAGTCCTCAATTGTATTTCTTAAAACCACCAGTGTAACTAAGTTGAAGTTTAAACCAACATTCTATAATACCATTGTATATACATCATATAGGTACATAAATTCAATGATAATACCTATACTTTGTTTCACTGGTGCTGAAAATGACGTCATAACTGTAATTCTCTTTTCATTGCATTTAAATCGATAGAGACAAAAAAATTACGTCATCAACATAAGTCGTGACAAACTAACAAATTGATATCCGTCTGTTGATAAGATGCCAATCAGTCATATACAATTTTCGTTACAGTTCCAGTTTGAAATATCTTTGTGTTTTGTGTTAAAAGTGAAGTGAATATGAAAGTTATAAATAGGCAAGTCAAAAGTGCAGCAACGCCATAATAGAGAAGTATTTTTCAAATTTTACATAATTATTTGATTTGCTCATATGAATTTGGTATATCGTGTTTTTTTAGATTCTATATGTTCTTACCCCGGTAAAGACCGAGGAGAGCCATATTAGTACTCGCATATGTCTATGAGGAGAGCAGACCTGAATGGGATCATTTAATAATAGTAAATTGATTTATTGTTAAATTGAATATTGCCCATAACTCTTAATTATTGAGTTTTGGGCAAAGTGTATAAGGCAATTTCGAATTAAAATATATATGGGCCAAATGAATATTATTGTGTTGCTATGTCTATTGAGTCACGGGCTACCTACCAAGTATTCACTGTCAGTTGAAAGATTCAGATCCGAATCTATAATAGGGCAAGCTTGATCTGGGTGCCAGAACACGGTGGACTAGGGGGCAACGAAAGGGTGGACGATGTGGTTCGTGAATTCAGTACGGGTGACTTTGTCTGGCCTGTGCCTGCCCTACGAATTTCCCCCTCCGATATTGGAGCCAGGATTAAAGATTTGGCGAGCAGTCATTCAGGCTCAGTGCCTACCAACAATCCAGACTCATATAGGCCATGGCCTTTTTATCGCGATCTATGGGCAAATCTGAATTTTTAGGCCGATTCGGAAGATCATCGGAGTCTTCACGGAGTGCTCGATGGTGAACTATATCGAGCAACCCACATGCAAATTCTGTGGCGATTCAGGTGAAACTATACTACATATAAGCATGTGGTTTGTTACTGTGACGCCTTGATCAGAACCTGACGTCAGCTCCTTGGCAAAAGTTATCTGAAACCGGTGAGGCTAAACAGGGTTCTATGTTTCCATCCCATATTGAGATAGGCTGGCTCTACCTATCTAATTGGCGAAGGAAAGGGGGGAAGGTGCAATATGGGCCTTTGGTGTGCCAAGATGCTGCCTTGTCCGGCTCCTCGTATGAATAGAATGATTATGAAGTATTGCACATCTTACACGATTTTGTAAATACCCCGAATATAATTAAAATAAAACCATATGTAAGAAGTAATTATTTAATCCATGAAAGTAATAAATTTTTGAAACGCGCTGTACAATATAAATTTTGTTTAAATCTGGCAACATGTAAACCAGCAACATGGCTACGCATTTTCATTTCGCATTTCTAACCTATAATTTTTTGTGAATTTCAAGTTTATTATTATTTAACAGCTTGTGTACAGAATGCTACAAGAAATACACATCCGCTTAGCAGAAACTCGTGACAATACACCGTTGGCTATTAACCAACGTGTACCCAAAATTTTTACACCTGGTGAAATTATCAGCGAGCAACAAGAGTTTATGAGGTATATAGTCTTTCAGTAGGTTCATCCTCACTGCAAACTATATAATTTTTAGAGGGCATGGAACATACGAAGAGGATATCTACTTAAAAGCTTCTGTGGCTGGCATTAAAGAACAAGTAAACAAACTTATTTCAATTCGCCCCTTAAAGAGTAGGTACAATGGTGAAATAGGGGACGTTGTTGTAGGTCGGATTACTGAGGTTCAGCAGAAACGTTGGAAGGTTGATACTAATTCGCGGTTAGATTCCCTATTGTTGTTATCGTCTGTGAACTTGCCTGGAGGAGAATTAGTAAGTTAGAATATATTGTTGAAGTTCTGATCATTCTGTTGAAATGTAGAGGCGACGATCTGCTGAAGATGAACATATGATGCGGCAATACTTACAAGAAGGTGATTTAATTAGCGCTGAAGTACAAAATGTCTTCTCGGATGGTTCTCTGTCATTGCATACTCGAAGTTTCAAGTATGGGAAGGTAGATTTCTAAGTGTTGTATTTCGAGTTTGTACTGATTACTTTTTAAGCTTTCTCAAGGTGTTATGCTTAAGGTTTTTCCATCATTAATAAAAAGAAGTAAAACACATTTCCATGATCTCCCAATTGGAGCTAGCGTTATATTGGGGAACAATGGATTTGTATGGATTAGTCCAACAATGGTTAACCAAGAAGATAATGTAGGAGGTTTCACTCAAAATTTAGAAGAGGTCGTGCCACGTGGTACCAGAGAAACAATCGGACGACTGCGAAATTGTATTCTAGCCCTAGCGCAAAGTAATGTTATGTTGTTTGATACAAGCATTCTTTATGCATATGAGGAATCCCTAAAGTACAATGTAGCTGAATTGCTTCTGCCAGAAGCAATGGTTGATGTTGCGATACTTACTCAACATAAATTGAATTTGTCTGAATATTCGTAAAAGTTTTATTATTAAAATGAGTATTCCAAATTATTCTATTAAAACTAGTTTAAAAAATATTTTAGTAGGTATACAAAACATAACTTAATTTTCAAATATGTACATTGTAAACATTAAAATTAAAAATAAATAGATGTAAAGCTATAGGAATGACTTTGTCTCACCATCACAACTATTATAGTTCCACTATTACAATTGCGTTGGCAAAATAATTACAAATTAGAAGGAAAGCAGTTCTATCACCGAAGTCCGCCGCCAACCCGAAAAACTTATGCTAAGTTTAAGGTTCCCAATCATTTGAAATCTCTTCTCAAGTTAACATATCACATAAGTTACATAAACGCTAACTCAACAGAAAGATCAAATATCTGTAGTGAGTTTACATCAGTTCTAATGCAAACATTTAATTTTATCAATTATGTATAAGCACCAACTTATCACTCGATATTCATTAACTAAGCCAGATGTTTACTAGGACTTAACCATTTCTTCATATAATAACAGAAAATAGTGGTAAGGTACAATAAAACTAACAAGGCACAGGTGACCCCTAAAGCTAATACTGACGTTTTCGTTGGGCAAGGTTCAATTATTGTTACTGTTTTATCTGGAAATAAATTTATTAAATATATAAGAACACTGCCGAAAGTTTAACTTACCTTTACCAAATTCGGTACTTGACAGTTCATTTTTCAAAAACTCAGCTTGTTTATCGTCACCAAAATCGAGCACTAATATTTCTTGACTAAGGGTCATGTCTTCTTCCTTCTCTTCTTCTGTTCCATTGTTTTTCACCGACCTCTTCCGTCTGCCCCATGATTCAACAGAGTCACGTCCCCATTCGCAGACAGCCTAAAAATAATAGGATAAATTAGTTTCTATTTTTTTTTAAATTTTGAGTTTATAACAATAAATATACTGTGTCAAAGATAAGAGTGTCTATCATGAGGATCTCTGAAACAATAGGCTAGGACGATGGATATTTAGAGAAAATATGTGCAATTAAAGCGTAGTTATCATGCTTTACAGAAAACTGGAAATTTCCTACTCCCTACCTAAGTAATTCCAGAAAAACCGAAATTTGCCGATTTATGTTTTTACTTTTCTCTGGTGCTATTTGAACAGATACAAAAAAAAACACTTTCTAATTGCCACTTTTGGAGCACTACAAGATTTTCAATACAACGCATTTTTGTTACATACCTATAAGTACAACGACACTACTCAGAATCTAAGGTGAAAGGTTATATCTACCTATTTAAAAATAAATAGTGTCTATAAGGGCTCTGGAATCTTGGACTATACAGCTAGGGTGACCGCATGTAAAAAAAATTGGGCGATAGAGAGGATCAGCGACAAGCACTTTTTCCAAATAAACCGAGGGTCCAACGTGTTTCGTTTAGGAGCCACCTCCAAAGAAGAAGAAGAATTTGGATTTCTTCTTTAATTTTTTCTCAGCAACCATAAGAGTTACAAAGATAGGTGGCACGTCTTTGAATAGGTTTTCGGGTATGTCCTATCCGATTTTGAAAAAATTTTCAAAATTCGTACCGCGAAAGGGCACACCCCTACTTGGGGGTGCGAAAAAAAATTCTTATTTCGACGAAATTTCGTATCTTGGGGTTTTTGAACATGGAAATGACGAATCTGGAATAAGTTTTTAAAAATTAAAAAAAAAAGTTCCACTGCAATTCTTGGCCGGACAACGAAAATGGAAACTATATTCCACGAAATTTGGTGTGTAGGTACATACTTGATGAATTAAGGAACAAAATTGTCGAACAGTTTTTTTAAATCACTTTTCAAACAAAAGTTATACTCATTTGAAAATTAGACCTTCGGGTTACAAAGTGTCCCCTGCCTACTAGTGAGTGATCTAATTTCGCATGTATAGTTAATTGAAAATGTTGCAAATAACAAAAAATAACGATTTAAGTGTATTTGGAATATTTCATTCTCTGATGGGAGGTATACAGTGTGCTTCCCCTTGAAATTCAGTCACCATGCGATCAACCGATCTTGTATAGTAACCCTTGACAAACCACTATACATAAAGGGATCTGACATAATTTTGTCGGCTAACAAGAATGACCGTTTTTTACGTTCTTCAACTAATTGTTAAAAACAAATTTTCGGATTTCCAACGGTTATAATGAAATATGGTCAAAAATGTGAAGCATGCACAAATGTTAATTTTTGATAGGTAAGTAAGCTAAGTATGTTGTTACTGGCTCCTAGTACTACACATACCTATACAAAGTCTCCTCTTTTAGGGAATTATTTCCAGGTAGAGGGATATTTTTACCTAATAGGACTGGCCTAAATATCATACGGGACAAATCGCCGAGACGTCTATATATGCAGACTTGATATCAATAAGTACATTAAGAACTACATACAAATATAACGCTATGAAATCGAAAAGTGTCGTTCCTGTTTAAAAAAATAGCTTTGCAGACCACTCCCTAATATTGTCCGTTAGACTAAGGTATTTCATAATAACACTTTCCTTCCACTATTGTCAATAGAGCTAACGCCCGAAAGTATGTAACCAACAACAACGTCTATTTTTCATTTCAACTTTCGAGTAGAGGTAGAGCTCATCGTTTAAAGGGAAAGTATGCTTTGACATGCGTTAAAATTAATTCTTTAGAATTGCCAAAGGAAGTGTCTTCAAGCAAAAGTCTGGAGGCTTTAGTTTATTTAGTACTTAAGCAAATGTTAGCCAGCTTGACTAGCAGGCCCGTAATGGAGTAGCAGGGTTGGCGGGTATTTTGCTAGGTGAGGCTTAAGAAGTTTTTGATAAAGACTTCCTCTGCAATTTTTGTAAAGGAACCATCAACCATGATTTCCAGTGAGAACAAGACCACGTTCTAGGCGGAGCTGAGCCCCACCTGGCTACGAGCGTCTTGGCTAGGGGAGTAAATACTTTGTTTCATCTAAGAGAGATCCTGGTTCAAATCCCGATTTAGGGAATGAAACCCATCGAATTGTGTTTTAGTTATCGAAACGAACCGTAAATAGTTATTTACCAATTGTTAAAAATTAATGTTTCAAAAACCACCCTTCTCACTAATCTCATCTTCCCCTAGCTAGCACCAGGGACACAGCTCCTAATTTTGTAAATTCCATAATACAGCTATTTTTTATTCAATTCGGAGTCCATTTTTTTTACGTTTGACCGTTTAGTTTCCAAAGCTATTTGGTACCTATCCTAATGTTGGAACGAACATATCTCCTCTATCAATAGCTTTATACATACCGGTTCACACGGCCCCAAGCAATATTTCACGTTGCATTGGAATATCACACCATACGACTCTGTGAATCTGAAGGCTTCGTAAACCGACTGCAACGAGTTTCCATCAGGAGTGAAGCCAGGGAAAATACTTGGATCGACAGGACAACCTTCATCATCAATAATTTGGAACGTACTTTTTGAATCCTTAGCCATGGCGACACAGCTTCGAGCGAAAATACCGTATGGTGCTGAAAAGAAACACAGTTAGCTATTGCTGAGCTAAAATTGCTAAAAGATCAGATGTAACTATCGAGTTTGAATTATTATTCCCGGCCTAAATTTCGTATTATTTAAACGAAAAAAGGAGAAGCCTTTTGCGCATTTACGGTATACTAATTTCAGTAAAAGCTCTTATGGACGATGTACAATAAAAGATGATTTGAAGAGAGTTTCAAAAATTCCTCATGTATAATACCTATCACTAGGGATAGGTACCTTACGAAAAAAATGCCAGTGCATTTATGATATGCATAATATTCCAAAAACCATTTCACAATGACTTACGCAATATCAAATTATTTTACTTAGGTAACCGATGCGACCTACAAAAATCTACATAGGTATACCTACTATTTTATAAAAAATGAAAATGAAAATTATCAACTACTTACTGTCTTCGGGAATCTCGATTCTAAACGTCAATTTATCTCCAATTCGTACAGTTTCCACTTCCCTGGATCTGCTATCCAATATACGAATTCTTGGGGGTGGCGCTTCGGGAGCCGATGTAATACTAATCATCTCTGGATCTCTGTAAAATAAACATACCTACATTCAGCTAGAGTTATGCAAATCCAATATTACAGTCTATAGAACACGTAATTTATACGGGATAAATCTACAATCGCAGACAACTTTGGAAGCGTCGTTTTTTTGCACTCCCTACTTCCTTTCCAATAAAAGAACGAAAACTCAATTAACTTTTAATCACACAATAAATGATGTTTGTGGCGTTTTATGCATTTCGATAGGTAATCGATTGGGAATTAATTTGGACCAACCACTTTCTACGCAGGGATTGATTGGAATTCGTACCGAAATAACTGAAATTCGTTTAAAATTAATTACGAAGTCCAGATTGTTGTTGAAATATCCTCTTTTAAGTGAAAATCAGTTGGAGCTAGGTATTTGTGTAAACGGCATAGCATTTATGCTTATGACAAAATGGGTATTTGGCTCTAATTAAATTCAGCGAATCACCTAGTTTGTTAAGTAGGCACTTCACTTTCGGAAAAGCTGTTAATAAGTACAAGAAGGAACGGTTCTAACCTAAATAATACCGGCATAATTATTTTCCTCCAATTTATTATAGGAAAAACGAATTTCCTTCGCAAAGGAATTGAAATTAATGAGTTGGAAAATGCTCATCGAGTATTTTATGATTATGACAGAAATTTCGCGTTTATTTTACATTTTTGGAAAAACGTCTGCAATAGCGCACAATCCTATTTTCCAGTCCTAATTTTGGAGATTACATTTGCTTAAATTCGGATTTGTTAGTGCCGCGGCGACAAAAAGCAAAACTTCGGTAAGTTTACCAAAACGGTAGTCTAGTATCAATCGTACAATAGAAAGATGCAGAAACTATATGAAATGTAAGCATTGTAAAAACTCTGGTACTTTCTGCACAATTTCAGTTCAAATATTAATTTCGGTAAGGGTAGTTTGAGCAATTCATCAGAACTCCAAACGTTGATTTTGATGACAATCTCAAATCATAGATAAAGTTAAGTTCGGCCTTCGGGTCAGTTTCTAAGACCTCATCGATCCATTATAATCCAAACTCGACTTTTAATATCTACACTTACCTGATAGGCATCATTCCAAAGGTAATATTCTTAGACGACATGTCGTAGGTGCATTTCACTTTGTATATTTTATCAGCCTTCGTCATCACCACGCTATGATGTTGTAAAACGACGGTATTACTATAAACTCCAGTCTGAAAATAAAATTAAATCACTCGATTGTATCGTACCATGAAATGGACGCACTTACAACTGATTGAGTGTTGCAGTCTTGACCAGTCATCGTAAGATCTAGCCTAAAGAGATCGCTGTTAAGAACGTCGACGTTGCACGTTTCAGATCTTCCTAACGCATAAATTCTTCCGTTGAAAGGCTTGTTTGTCCTGACTTGTACAGCTATCCTTGTATCCTTGCAGTTAACCGACACTGGAATGGTAATTTTTAATCTTTTGTAATAAAACCGATCTGATGTAAAGGTAAATTACCATCGTAACATGTTCCGGTCTTATCGCAGTTAATATCGTTTCTTGTTAAGTTATTGAGATTGGGATCTTCAGTAGCTTCGAATACAATTGGAAGATTATTATCTGACGTTTGTCCTGTTTGTGAGGATAGTTCTGAAAGAACACAAAATGATTCGCAAGTTCGAAAGGCAACATCAGATCATACTTTCGCAGACGTTTTCGTAATAAGTTCCTATACGTTCGCCATCATCTAGAAGCGGACGTTCTGCGTTCAAATACGTACTGGGCCCATCGGGTAGGGTTTTATGGTCCAAGTGGAACAATTGACAATTATATTGCGAGCCTATTGGGGCACCTCTATATAAAAAGGATCGGCATAAAAATTCGTTTTCAATTTCGCATGCCAGCCTACAAGCGGCCTCGCTCGTTACTTGAAGTTCTTTGTCGGTGTAGTAGTGCAGTCCCGCATATTGTGACACCTTATCATCTGCGACGCCAATTCTTGGAATTTGGTAGATACGGTTCCCTTTACAAGCTTGGTTTCCCTTCAAACATAGGTTTTCAAAGTAATCAACGCCCTGGACATCGATGAACTGCACAAACTGGCCGGTTGTTCGCCTGTCTGAATCGCTCAAGTGACATTCGAGGGATGCATAGTTATATTCCAAAGATCGGCAAGTAAATCGGTGCTGAAACAAATTTTTAGCTTTAGTGTGTAATAAATTCTTTCAAAAATTACAATTATCGGCCTTCCACTAACTTGGGCCAAATGGTCCTCTTTTTGTGAATCTGAGCTATCAGGTATAGTTTTAAAGTAAATGGTTGAGTGCTTTATTGACTAAATGAAAATGCGTTATTTACTAAGATATGATAGTTTTGACTACAGATAACGGGCGATCAAAAATGAGTTGCTTTCGAGTCGCCTTTGGAAGTTCAAGTTAAATACGATTTCCCATGTAAACAAAAATTCCAAAGGTGACTCGACAGCAACTCATTTTTGATCGCATTGTACTTATAAGTGAATCTAGTTCGATGTATCCTTCTGATTCAAGCAATTAAATATATTATGTCTGTCAAAACAAACCAACCCTGTGTCTGCCGGTAAGGCCAAAACTTCAAACCCGAATATCTCTAGAGCGGAGTGCCGGAAGTCGGTGAACACAAGAGGAAAAAGGAAAGTGCACGAGACGCATCTGTTGAGGGGGTTGCTCTTCTTCAAAAAACCTAAGCATCGTACGTAGTAAAGCAAAAGACTGTTGTGCGTAACTCGTATATTGACGATCCGTTTTTTTGTGCATACACGAATTATCATTCGTTTGGTTGCGACCGGTATTTGTTGAATTTGGATGGATTTATGAATGATTTTGGGAATCAATAAATAGTCAATTATAGTGTGCAGAAGATAGTCGACATAACTCACCGGTTCAAAACCTTATTTAATTAATTCTGCAAACATTGTCATCGGTTCTGGTTGATAACCATTCAATATTGTCAATCGGTGTATGGAAGGGACGATTTCGTTACTTATTGAAGCGTCAAGTTCTTCACTACAGTCCGGAGTCTCGCGCCAAATCAATACATTATTTCTACTACAAAGTATTCTTGAATCAGAGGAAGACGAAGATGATGTGAATTGGCATTTCATAAATATTAATTTACAAAAAAAACGAAGATCTCGACCACTGATCGCTAACTTAATCGAATATTTTGAAAGGGAACATGAAAATGGGGCCTCTTTATGTCCATTGTGAGGTGTCAGAGGTGTGTACCTATTGTCTGTTATTCAAAACCAAATAACTTTTATCGTGGTACAGTAGCTTTGAAACTAAACATTTCGACCGTTCAATTTCGTTAAGGACAACGGAGTCCACTGAAAATTCAAACTAAGAAAGTTACATAAATAATTTCGTTGAATCTACGAGAGATCCTAAAGGAAAGCCTCTTCGGTAAACAGGCTGTAGTTCGATTTTACCACAACGAAAACAAGAAGATCGGCGAACAAGTTAAGCGAAAGTTGATCGCCCTCGCTCAACAATCAGCTGGAACGATGCACGTTGATGTTTTTGGAAAAAAATATGACGTTCCTAGAATCTTGAAATTCGTAACCTGGTTTTTATTAATACACAATTCGAAATGTTTTGTGGATTTTCTTTTGCTTTTGTTGTCTTTGATAACTTATTCCTTGTATTTGTGTGGGCTATACTAGGGTTTTTGTCCCGAAAAAGGTTTCCATGACATCGCCATATTTATATGTTCTCGTCTTTTCTTACGCGGAACATTTTCATTCAATTTCCTTTCCCATTTGTGTATAAAAAGAACCGCCATTTTTAACACCGACTGCTACCTAGATTCGAAAGTGCTCCGAAACGTCCATCGATTTGACATGCAGGTAACAGTGGCTCTGTTCGTGAGTATGGAGCAAGTCAAGATTGCAGTCGCTTCGCGGCTTCTGCTACTGCGGGCGGTGTTATCACGAAAAAAACAATTAAAATGATTTTTTAAAATTTTCCTTTACGTCTACCTTGTTAGTAAAACATCGCGACATAGGCAACCTGTTACAAATAACTACCGAAACTTTTTTTTAGTAATTTTTACTTACAATGCAGCCCTGTCTGAATGGATGCCTACATCCGTATTCTCTTCCATTGATTGCATGATGCTATGTAAACATACTTAGCGGTGACGTCATAATGCACGACGTACGGACAAACTACGCAAAATCCTACTATAGCTGTGTCTTATTAAGCACAAAAATAAGGGTAACTGTGTATAAAGTATAGTCGAAAATTTTAAGTTTTCGAAATATTGGCTCAGTATTATTATTTTTTCTATTGTAAATATGGTGTCGGTTTACGGATGTTTGTTAGTTGGCCACGACTCCCCACCATGGTGCCGAAAAAACCCTAAACACTAAATAAATGCAATTTTTTCTTACCGTTTGTCAATTATTAAAGTAATCATGCCGGCGCGATTAATTTATACACGCGATCATTTAAATCTGTTTTTTCACTACTAGCGTGTGATGACATGATTATTAACCTTTTTTCCACTTGTAAAGTAGGCTTTCTCGGCATTTATTCAAAGTGGTTAATAATGTGGACATTATTAACTACACCTTTTCCACTTTTATTCGAGAAGTTGTAAATTGTATTTGAGAATTGTTACTTGTATTTGAGAAAACGTCAAAGTAGATGAGAATAGTCAGTTGGATTTGAGAAAACATCAAATGTATTTGAGAATAGTAAATTGTATTTGAGAAAGTATCATTTAATTTTATTGTATTTTAGAATGTAATATTATTCCTAATGAATTATAATTAAGAATAAAATTTTTATAATTCCGCTACTGTATGTAGTCCCGCAACAGCAGCAGCAGCAGCAGCAGCATCAGGCTATTGTGATTTTGTTATTGATTCTCAAATGCTTAATTTTGCCATTTCTTGAATACAATTTACTACTCTCAAATTCATTTGATGCCTTCTCAAATACAAATCACTATTCTGAACTACATTTGTTGTTTTCTCAAATACATTTTACTATTCTCAAATACAATTGATACTTTCTCAAATTAACTTGATAGTTTCTCGAATAAAAGTGGAAAAGGTGTAGTAGTCAATAATGAGAAATGCCAAAAGAATTCCAGATGGGCCTGTAGATAATAATTATAAGAGTTGTACAAAAGGGGACCACTTATGGAGAAAGAAAGCAGGGTGAAAGAAATAAAAGAAATGACACAGTATATCATGTTCCATTACGATTTAAGTCAATGAACAATCTAAGGATGGATAAGAACAATGGGTACGAAAAGTTAGAATTTTTTGTAATAATACCATGAAAATTACTGTTTTCAACAGCACGACAAGATTTTGAATAAACTGGTCCTCCCGTCAATAGAACGAAATTTCGTTTTACGATGATGCCTTAGTCCCTGAACTAATTTGATTTGCACTGTGTAAATATCAAAAGGCTATTGTTCATTTGCAAATATCAACTACACAATTCCAAAGTTTTAAACGTAGAAGTTATATAAAAGAACGAAATGAAATGAATGGAAAACCCCAGAGTCCAACAAACTTCATTCAATGTCGCAAATGTCTTTTGAATTAGTTTTTAATTAAAATACGGATCCTTTATAAATGATTTTAAGATACCAGTGACTTCGCCAATTTCCGCTTCATTCTCTCAAGATTGTTAGTTTAAATCGTTATCAGATATTTGCGTCTCTTACTACTTACGCTTAATTAAAACTAATTTAATTTATAGAGTTTAGCTGTCTCATTGTAAATTATGTGGTAGCAATTGAATACTTAAAAAATATTTCGAATGGATCTACACATTCCGTACGTACTAAAATTAATGAGTTTTGTGCGTATAAGATAAAAAAGTTTACTGTTTCTATTGCATTTGACTGCATTTGCAACTGGGACATTTTTATTTAATCTATATAACCATGCAAACGACGAAACGCAATAATTTTTAACTCTCAAACAGCTTTAGCATTATGTCCTCAATAAATGGCGTACAAACTGCAAGATTTTTCTTAATTTTGGTAGGGGTTTGAATGTTAAAAAGCAGGTGATATACAACATCTAAGTAGCAAAAAATTATCTACGAATGAATGACTTCCGTATATGATGGAAATACCTTCATACCATCATATTATCAAGTAAAATTTTGGTCGAAACAATCTTGTTGGGCTTGAGAATCCATACAAAATGATCCAAAATCTGGTAGGCCGTTTGACGCCAAACACAAGAGACAATAAACAGTATTGAAAAGATGGTGAAGTGAAGTTTCAGTTATTGTGAAACTCTGAAGAGCAACGGATTGTGGTAAAGGCAATTTTGGATTCAAATTTTTTGTAAATTTTTCTCGAACTTTCGTTGTAAATGTGATAGATTATGAGTTTAAAGCAAAGAGTAATTATGGTTACTCTTTGGTTTAAAGCAAAGAGTATTGGTTACTCTTTGGTTTAAAGGTAGATTTAGATAGTTAATTTTCCTACAAAAGTCATTTGTGGTGGAATTTCAGTAGTGTGAAATGAAGCCCTTCTTTTCTGAATCATTCAAATTGTGGCTGTTTTGTTCTATTGATTGTTTCAGGATATTACGTTGCCGCGATAGCGTAAGTGTATCTCAAATTCAGCCGTGTTGTTGTGGGGTTTTTTGTTTCATACGCAGTGACTTTCTGATTAGAAATCATAACCAGAAAAAATTTCAACGCATTAGGACATCCTTTTCTCGACGATGACAAGGATCCCAATTGGTCGAGCGAACTTCATTTCTTACATGTAATATAAAGAAGGCGGTAATTACTTCGAAAAAGGTAGTGAGAGTGACCATTCAGAGGTAAATTAACAGATGGATTAACTCTCTCAGCCATTGTGGTTTCAATTAAAAGGGAAATTTGATTTTTTCGGTGTAAAAATTTACAAGATAGTGAGAAACATAAAAACACAATTTGCAATTAATCATTAGGGTAAGTAGTAATAATATTATACCTACATTATTTATAAGAAATTTTAGTAGTGTATTTTAGGGCCTGTACTTTTCTTAATTTATATAAATGACTTGCCTTCTACAGTTAATGGTCATTTGATATTATATGCCGATGACACTACAATACTAAGCTCTGGTTGAAGTCTAGAAATAACAAATATAAGAAGTATAGATCTTCAAGGGCAGTCCAAGTCTTGGTTCCACTTGAACAAGTTGTCTCTAAATGAAGACAAAACAACTTTTATTTTTCATTTGCCTATTACATGTCAATTATATCTGTCATATGTGACATATGAAGCAGTCTATTACGCCCAAGGGCGTAATGAGAGGGCATAATGGATTGTCATCTCATTATGCCCTCAAACGGCCTGTCAAATTGATTGACGGGGTTATATTATGTAATAAAAAAGATGCAACTTGATTCGTATGAAGCACTTTAATGTTGGGCAAACAATAATCATGATATTTGTATATTAGAAGTGCATTCTTTGGAACGATGAAAAATAAAATGTTGTATGCACCTCAGGCATTACTCAATATTTAACCCTCGGGCGACTTACAATCCCTCGGGCCGGAGGCCCTCGGGCTCTGTCGCCCTCGGCATAAATATCGCCTTAATGCCCTTGATGCATAAATAATTTTATGTCTTACTAACCTATCATAGCACATTTTATATCTGTGATACGCGGGCATAAAGTACCACTTTATGCCCTAGGGCATTAAGTACCTATCACCATAGTAACTCATTTATACTTAATGACAAAACAAACAAATATTTGCAGGTCATTGAAAATTAGAAACGTCAATTATTAATTGTCAATAGCTACTAAATCACAAGATTGGCCTTATTTCGTATAGTTTCTGGAACTTCTTGCTCATTACGATGAATTGAATTATTTAAAATTACGTTTGACGTTTGGATGGTTTCAATCACATTAACAAATTCGAACCACGCATACTCGATCAAACATAATGAATTATTTTGTAAACGATTTTTGACGATAAAACTGTTTGTAAAACATAAAATTGTGTATGTACCACGGGCATAAACTGATGTTGATACTCTCGGGCGACTAAAAAGCTCTCGGGCCATAGACCCTCGAGCTTTTTAACTCGTCGCCATCGAGAATATAAACATCACTATTATGCCCTTAATACATAAATAACTAATATCGATGAGAAGGGACACTGATGTAATTAACCAAAGCCGGTGAAATTTTTAGGCGTCTATCTGGACTCCACACTTTTATGGACACGCCATATTGACGAGCTTTCCTCAAAACTGAACAGAACTGTGTTCTTACTTCGTAATTTACAAAACCATGTTTTTCGGAAGTTACGCGAACTGCATATTTCGGATTATTCCATGCCATAATGAATTATGGTATTTTAATATGGGGTCATTGCTCCTCTGTCTCTAGAATCTTTAAAATACAAAGAAGAGTGGTTAGAATATTGGCCAACCTAGACTATTGATCTGATTGCAGGCAAGCCTTCACAGATTTGGAAATATTGACCTTACCCTCACTTTACATAACATACATGTATGATTTATATGAAAAGTAATTGCTAAAAATTTAAATACCACTCGGACTTTCACAATTACGATCCGCGAAATATGCATAATTACGTACCTATTAAAAAAAGTCAGTACGGTCCCAATTTTTTAGCCATAAAATTTTTTAATATGTTGCCCACCGCTCTCAAACATTGCAATGAAAAGGAGTTTAAAACTAAAATTAAATCATATATAATAAAACAGGCTTTCTATTCACTAGAAGAATTTTTGACGAATAAATGTGATATAATGGACTAGTTTGTATAACTATTAAGTTTGTTTGTAATGTGTGTGTAAACACTACGTGTAAAACATCAATAAATATTATTATTATTATAGTGTATAGTATTTAGTGAGAGTAGAGAGTGAAGTAAGTCATTTAAAATCATGTCAGTTCGGGGTACCACAAGGCAGTAATATATTCTTATGTGGGTACATGGTAGAAATCTATTTATCAATAAAACAAAAACAGTGACCATGACATTTCGTACTGCGCACATGTTGTTACCAAAAAATGTTAAAATCAAGCTACATGACTGTAAGTGTTTAATGAACATTAGCGATAATTATAATTGTAGCATATTAAAACAAGTAGAAGAGACAATGTACTTAGGATTAATAATTGATAATCACCTAAAATATAATAAACACATAGAATATATATTTGCAAAATTTAAAAAAATTACAAGTAATATATACAAGTTAAAAAGACAATATTATAATCGCCAAATAATGATCACTGTGTACAAATCACTTTTTGAAAGTATTTTAAGATACGGTGTGCAAAATTGGGGGTGCTTGGAAAAACTGTACATAGAAAAATAAATAAACTTCAATTAAAAGCCCTACAACTAGTACACGGAAAACTTAGTGTCACAGAATTATTAGAATTGTGCGATACACTAACACCTTTAGGTTATTACAAATATTATAATGTGATTATCAATTACGAAAATGAGGGGTGTAGAATAAGAGCGGAACATGGTTACCAAACGCGCAGAGATAATTTGTTAGTACCTAGATATTAGAATAAGCATGGAGAGAGAACTCTACCAAGACTGTATAATCAAATTACTTTTGATCGTTCGAACTTGAACAAATCCCAATTCGCAGCAATGTATAAAAATCAGTTAAGGCACGATATTATGAATAATTGTTGTATAATCTTTTTTTTTGTAATTATTAATCTTAAATTTCACCTTTTTGTCACAATGATTGCACTCCACTAACCCCACTGCGTCAATTACTTTGTTTAAGTTTTCTTTTTTAATATTTCTATGTAAATTTGCAACAATGATCGGCACCTACCGATAAGTAATAACTTGATAGGACCGCATTATGTAGATATCTACAATAATAAATGAAATGAAATGAAATTATTAAATTGATCCACCACTGCTTTTAAATAAATGACATTTGGTATGTTACCAACTCTATAGATTTTAGTTTTGCGGGATTTTCAAACTGTCCGCACTAATTTTGGATCACCCGGTATTCCACGAGATCTCAGAAACCGTTGCGAATGTTCAAAATCTTTTTTAAACATTTTTATTGTACCGGTATATTAAATCGGTAAATGAAGCGCGATCTTTTTATATCTGACCAGGTTTAGCAAAATTAACGAGATTTTTAGACTTTTTTTCGAATTTCGGGTACGAAACAATCTGATTTCAGTTCATCGTCAAGAACAGATTGACCTTGTAACGGGAGCCTGCTTTGTCGAATTTTATATACAAGCAAAATGACATGTGTACCGGTTCATAGGAATGGTGAGATGCGTTCGTTAGAAAGCGAAAAGTGAGCGTGTTACGAATTGCCAAGATAACAGCGCACTCGACTATTTCGTTGGTTCCGTGGCTTGAAGCATATGAGCCGCTGTAGCGGCGAAAATCGGTGCTCTCAGATTGGGAAAAATCGAATTTTGTCGCTTCTTCTGCTTTAGTTCCTTTTCAGTTTTTCTGCTGAGCACGCTGAAATACCGAGAGAAGGGGGCTCGACGGGGAGATCAAGCCTAACTTCGATTGCAATATCGTGCCAGTTTTTCCGTTCAATTTACGATCACTCAAATTCTATTGCGCGGTTTTAAGGAAGTGCCGGCCTTACTTGCACAGTTTACGGATATTCCCACAAAAATCGGAATTAGGAAAGAATTAAAGGTGCCGGTATAACGAACCTTTTTGAAGGCTGTTGTCCAATGATGCTACTTTATATACACTCATAAGAACCCTGACCAAAGGGAATTTCATCTGTAAACCTGGCCCATACGAATAAAAGGGAGCAGATGCTTATACTTGCAAAATCCAAAGTAAATACTCGTAAGTGCCCCTTTCCACTGGGCTGCTCAGCAGCTCTGCTTGCGTCCCGTCCCGTGGTTAAGCGGCGCTGCGAAGTCGCCCAGTGTGAGTGGGCACTTACGAGTATTTACTTTGAATTTTGCAAGTATAAGCATATGCTCCCTTTTATTCATATGATGGGCCAATGTCTACGGGTCGCCGCTACTCTAGGAGGAAAATATCGAGAAGGTATTGTAGATATCTGATTGTGGTGTTGTTTGTTTGTCAATCGCCGTGAATTTAAATAGCTTAAGAGCGCCATTAATAATTTTTTGACTGTTAAACAGCGCATCTGTAAGGAACCCTTAAGGTACCTATTACGGATAGTAATCAATTTTCAATTATACAGCAAGGTTTCAAATTTTTGTATATATTAAATAAACTTAACTGGGAAGTGTGATGATTTACGAAATACTTCCCATTTAAGGGTCCAAATGTATTAGGGTGTGTAGATTTAAGGTTTTTGCAAAATTTGCAATGTATCTTATTATGCAACCGAACTCATTGAATAAACTTTCATGTTCATATGTGGGATACACCATACACAACCTACCATAGTTGCAGTTCCAGAAGTGCATAGATTTCGATGTGACTGGATCCACTACGTGTTAGTGCCTACGGGGTGGAACATAGAAGTTTCAACTATAAACACTTAGAACAAATAGATAAATGGGAATGGCAAAAGGGAAAAACTTACTCCAAATCTAGCAGACGAAAAGATCTGTCAGCGAAAATTTTAACGGGTTTTCCAACCCCGAAGGGAAAGTTAAACAATAATTGTTTGAATACTACTAATTAACCGAAAAGAAAAATAATGACGGTATTTTGATCACGGGCAGGCGTTGTAAAATGGTAATAAACTTATTTATGTTGTTTAATAATATGTCGACATCATGCTGTGCGGCCTTAGGCGAAATTTATTAACTTAAACGCACAATTATTTGTAATGGTGGCCGGTGGGAACCATTTACTTATTGATTAGTTTAGAATCCTCTAAGCTAAGGTAATAAAGAATGTTGTATTATACGAGGTTTTCCGTTCGGCTTACGGTAATGCCAGAAGGCATACGTAATATGTCCTTTTCAATACAAAATTTTTAATCTGATTAGCGGAAAACGGTAAAATGCGTGTTATTTCTTACCTCATTTAAGCATGCAGCTAGACAGGCTTCCTTGGAGGATGTGTAGATAAGTGCATTGTCGAGGCCTCTTATCATCTTGTTAGGAATTCTTTCAAATGACCACGGTCTAAGGCATACGTTTTCTGATCGTATCTGTATCTTTGTCATGTAATACATATTCACTGATCTTTGCGGTGCTTCGATAGGGTTATTGGCCGAGGTTTCGTTTTGCAATTGACAAACCGTATCTTGCATTGGCGCTAAAGGATTGACCACAAAGCTGAATGCGGCCGCTTGACAATCGGCTTCTTCACGACACCATCCCTGACATTCATACAATGAAAGGTTTTTGACGGTATAATAGGTATTTCCTTTGTAGTCATAGTCCGTTAGTTTTTCAAATGCTATTCTTCCTGAAAAAGAACAGACATAAATTAATAACGAAGAACGTATATGAAAATGTGTGGTAATTTCGAACGGACTTACTGAAGAAAAAGTAAAGTATTACTCAATTCAGCATTATTGGCAAATAAAATGTACTTTTTTTCTATACTACTTTTGTCAGTGAGCGTGTCATTGAAGATGGAAAATCGCATGACAGAAAATTAACGTTATAACTTGCTAGGAATACTAAAAGTACCGGGTTTTATGTGTGGAAACACTGAGAAGGAGGGAGTAAGATGATGCTGCTCATATACCGACTGATTATTGTTTTTATTATGTGCTCGTGTTTGAAGCACTATCGTATCGTATCGTATGTTGACACATAGACACAACCCTGCCTAACAGCCCCTTTAATTTCTGTTTCTTCTAAAAATTTGTCTCTTCCCTTTCTGGTTATAGTAGAGAAGGCTGAAGATGACGATTCTTCTTTAGCTTTTCTCTTTTCGCCGCCTTCTCCCCTCCACCTGCATTATGCTCACCCTTCACCAAACAGACTTCTCTTTCGTGATGATTCTGATATCTCTAATTTTTTGTAGTAGTAGGATAAGGTATCGATGTCTGATCTTATCGAAGGCTATACACACTTTATATTTACTTTGCAACAGCGTGACGGTACTAATACCCGACAAAAGGATTATGTTGAATTGCAGTGGTTCTAAATTCTTTAATTCAGCAAAAATAAGGCTAAGGGTGAGTTGGTTACAATTAAATTGTGTTTTTTTCGTTTTGAGTGCGGTAATCTACGTGACATGAAAATTGCAACACCAAGAAGGTGTTTGGTACTGGTAAGAACGCCCAGTGTGATATGTTTGCGAAGTAGTAGAACACCATATTTCCAGTTTTTTCAGGAGTTGGAAACTTTTCCAATAAGACGCTCGTACTCATACAACACTGCATCCCGGTTTCAAGATATCAACGACCGTCTCTTGTCTTGGCCAGTCAAATCTCCCGATCTTCCGTCTATTGAACATGTGTGGGGCATTATGGATCGAAGATTGAATATGGAAAATACTCCATAAACGCTGGAACAACTTCAAGGTCTTCTTGGCATTGCACTTTTGTAATTGCCACTCCAGTGCTTAATTAACTTCTTTTCAATTTGCTAGCAATTTTCTATATTTTCGGCGTGTTTCGCTTGTACGATTAAAACCAGAGATACTGTCTTTATTTTCGAATCCGTAAGGAAGGCCGAATCGGCTCCATTGATTTATGTGTTTTCTTTTTGTTTGTGTACTTTAATGATTTTCTAGTTACATAAAAAAACATTTGTGGCATATATACTATATGTTCAAGATGAAAATGAACAGCATGGGTATCTTGAAAATCGTAAAAGTTACAAATCTAGTTTAATGGCAAAAGATTCAGATTTAAGGAGTTCGTTCTTTTTTTTAAAATTTGAACTTCAACGTTGTCATGTATTGTCATATTTGCGTTTTATGAAAAAGTTTACTGACCTTTGGGATAATAGCATTTGGTATTGCGTTGCGTAAGGTGAAATTTAATTAGTTTCAAGATAAGCACGTGTGGTCCGCATTGGGAATAATAATACTTTGAGTGTGTGTCACTGAAACCTTTCTAAAAGGTTCTCTAAGCATTCACTAAAGTAAGATTTTTCTTTCCATCATCCGAGAAGCTACAAATTTAGTCGCTAAATTCAACAAAGTCAGTTCGTGTTATCTCAAGATTAAGTGTAATAGAAAATAAGTAAAGTTTTTGAAACTGTCAGCGAGTGTTTGTTTGGTTCTTTGTGCAGCAGAAAATTGCACTTAACGACCACATAATTATATTATTACACTGTAAGTAATCAAGATTTCTTTAATTAAGGGTCTATCGATCGCTTGCATGCGTGGTATCTTGTAAACAGGCCCCGAGAGCCTCTCATTCTTTCAGCTTTGTCAGTGTGCCCATAGCCCGAATAAATGTTCTTGTATTTCTCAATGAACAATTTTGTGTTTAATTGAACCCTACATTTACGACCCAGGATTAGTGTTCTCATATAGAATTTGATATTCCGTTCAGATATATTAATTATCTCAAATTTATTAATAAAAACTGTTTTGTTAAATTTGCGCGAATTCCGTCCATTAATCCGTCGGAGAGTTTGAGATCCTATGAAATGGATTTTCACGTGGGCAGAACGAACTTTCATATCTATGGAGCGATTTTTATGAAATTTTTGTAAACCTCAGTTCCTTAGTTCGCCGCTAGAGGCCATCTGAGTGTTATAGATTTCATTGACCTTACTTCATTCTTTTGTCGCTAGAGTTAAAACTTCGTAGCTTTCTGCACCTCGTTTTATCCTTTCTTAAATTTTGTCTTGCGCTTTCCCTGTACTTGTTCCCTTCAGAGAAGATCTGGCCTTCCTCGTGCCAGCAGCAGTTTTTTTCTGGATACTGTTATTTGACTTATGTCTACCTAAAAAGGTAGCCATATTTCTTTGGAGTGTTTCTCTCTATCACGTGATGAACTACTACACTACCTACTTTACACCTGGCGATTCGAATATTGTTCCTGGATTTTGACTGTAAGTATTAACGAAAGCTTTTGGAGATTATCGCTTCGATATTTCTGATCTTACGTACTTTGCATTTGTCGTTACTGAAGATTACGTCTTACCGACGAGGCTCGATCTTGTCTAAGTTATACTTTTGTTGTTTCGAAGACGCATTCGTACTACCTTAACAACGTCTTTCATATCCTCCTGTATATTAGTCTCGATTTAATGATTTGCTTTTTAATTGTAAATTAGTTTTTTCAGTTACGGAAACCTAGTCCGATGTTTATATTACTTGCGCTATCGCGAAAAATTTGTTCGTGGTAGTACATTTATGTTTTGTATTAAGTAGATCATTGCCGTTGTAAATAAATTTAGTTATTTGTGCATCGTAAAGTTTAAACTTTAACTAACGGTACGTTTATGCTTTTATATATTCGAATTGTACGCACAATTCAATCAAAATTTTGCTTTTGCTAATGTAAAGTCATTCGAATTAAGTATTGATTTTTATCGGTTTTTAATATACGAGTACCTGATTAGTCTCAGACGTTAGACATTCCAATTGCAGTTTTTTTGTTTGTGTGTGTTGTTACAGATAAGGAAGAAAAGGACCTTTATGAACTAAAAAGGTCGTTACAGTCAGAGTTGAAGGGTAATTTTTATTTTCGACGACTCCTTGATATAACGTTTGATTACATATACTGGTCTTCGATGCAATCGAGTTGTAATTACTACATTGGTTTGCATGTCTTTTATTTCAATGGTTTGAATAGTCATAATTATAACTGCTTTGTTTTCTGCGGAATGATTAATTTTGATAATTTTCCGGACTACGATTTGATCCCTTTTTGCTAAAAATTGATTTAAATGGAAACATTGGCATTTAAGACGTACACCCTTTCCAGGTGTAGTTCATAATACCTCAACTGTATTTCAAATTAGTCCATTTAATTTCAGAAAATATCAAAAGTACATAATCACTTTAACTTCAGAACAGGTTAAATGTATTTCAGATTATATCATATCAGAAATCTGGTTGTATCTTTTTTTTTTCATCAAATTGTGTTCCGTTCTGTTAAGGCGGCGTTCGATCATACAGGGATACTGCTTTAACCCAATTTTCCATCATCTTGATCGATTCCTTCTTCTTCATTACTTACTATATTAATCATGCTTTTGGTATCAATAGATAATCCCGCCATCATTTTTCATTTGCCATTGGTTGGCTCAAGGTAGACCACTTTGGGAGCAGACAAACCACATGGATTTTGTCAAAATGTTAAAATTGTTATTAGATAATTATATTAATGGTACCTATATAAAACCTATCTAATATATTGATTCTAAAAATATGGTCCTTTAGAAAGTTAGTGAAAGATTTTTATGCTATCCGAGCCCACTATAGATAGGGTTAGTCGACCGGACGACCAGAAATGAATGAATGAATGTAATGCGGATTATTATCCGTATTAGGTAGGATGCGCCCCTATTACACCTTATTAGTTATAGGAAAATGACAAAAGCGTCCACGATGTGTCGGTGTCGCTATGATGTAATTTGGGTTGTGGAAAAAATTACATCCCAAACCTGGCTCGATATAAGGTATAAAAGAAATGTTTCATTACTGTCGATACTCGATATATGTACCTACTTATGTATTGAATGTAAAATTGTAGTTACAAAATATAATGATTGCTTACCTAAAATTCCATATATATTTATTACGACTAGGATTAAAATTCTGATAAATCGATGGTGATCCATATTTCTGAAACAAAACAATAGTCGTTAGTATATTTCCTTTGAAAGTAGAGAAAACGCGAATTAGAGAAACGTTTTCAAAGAGCCCTAATAAAAAATCGTTGATGGTGTATCATATCTCGCGTAATGGGCGAGTTCCTCCGGATACGGGAGTTTTATCTTACTTTCTGTTTATATGTGCATAATTTCCCTTGCCAATCAATGCCAAAATAACTCGCTCGTTCATTTATGCCATTATCTCCATTTGCAACAAAATATAAAGGTTGCGTGATATAGCGATGCTCATGCTTTATGCATTTTAATGAGGAAGGTATAGGTGGAATAAGTAATAATAATAAATTACACTTGTATAAGTCATAAGATACAAATCATTAATTCTGTTTAGTGTATTCCTGTCTTAATAATGTCTCGCATCCATTCGCCACAGACGGAGCCGGTAGCTATACATATATTAAACTATTTTTTATTAATCATTTTCGATTTGCCATATTTAAGCATATTTGATAGAATTAATTACGCGCATACTAAATGCCTTCATTTAACAATATTGACTAGACATACATTTACATTGTCGGCATTCCAATGGGACCAAACTTGAGTAAACTAATGTTCCCAGACCCCGGTCAACTTGTCGAATACCTATTTATTAGAAAATTATTCACTTTGTTGTAAAATCATTTTGTAACCGATGTTTAAAGTCATGTCGGTGGTCGATAATGCTACATTCCAACTTCCAAGCAGCTAATCTCTGATCATTTATTATACCTATATTCAATCTATGTGAAATGAGCCATAACGTAGGTCGTTAGATTTTGATATTTACTTAATGAATAGCCTCACGTTTCCTCGCAATTGTACCCTTTTCAAACGACTTTGTTAATGATTTGTAAAATTAGCTCGTGCCGCTCTTCCCATTGGAACGCGTATGATCGAACATTTTTTAAACGTAAACGATCGACTAGGAATTCCAAAAATGCAGAATCACACACGTTCTGGACAATGCCCTCGAATAAATCACGTTATTAGAGGTTAGTTTCCGTTATCATTTACAACATCGGCAACGTGCGTGATAATAAATTTTATTTTGGGTTTCCTGGTGTACAAGAACGACCTCCATTATCTGGAATTACCCACATAATAAATTATTAAAACGCAGTAATGCTGGATACGTTTAATGCCGTTCAAAATACGGTAATCATCTCAAATTGCCATGTAATATCGACTCCAATAAAGATATTTCCACGTAAACTGCATCGATGAAATTATACAACAGTAAAGTATATACGATAAAATAACGAATTATAGCAAACCGTTGCATTTACCGTTTTGAATTTATTACGAATTCAACTACAAAATGCAAAATAAATGTAAATTTATAAATTTTTTAAAGCCAAGGAAGCCTGATAAACTTGTTTCCGTAAATACACGACCTCTTTTTGCCCCATTTTATTGTTTTACCTGTCTATGCTCATCCGTAACACATATTCATTTTTTAATTAAAGCTTTTCGTAATAGTGGCCTTTGCTATTTTCGTGGAATGTATAAAAAGGCAGACAACCGCTACTATGCAAATGATGAATTCATCTAACATGCAATGACTAAAGATAAAGCATCCCTCAACAAACTCTTCTTTTATTACCTATGTTGTCAAACATGGTTGTGGTGTTGGATTTAATGTAAAATTGATTTGATTAATAATGATAATAACAACTTTACTAATGTTAATAGTTAATAATTTTATTAATTTCCATAGTCGTCACAAAAAAATCCACTGTATGGAAAAAATTAGTTTGATATTTGACATACACGTGCGTTAACGAATGCGTGTGCAACAGCGTCCGTCTGTGGCGAAACTCTTACATGCTAGTCGTGCAACTACGTCGCGCATCTACTCCAAATGTTTCTGAAGCGATTGTGACGGCCTTAATGAATAACTCGTTCGTTAAATTAAATTAATGAATAACATTCTACACGCCAATTTGATTACATGAGTTAATATTACAACTCTACAGGGTCTCCCAAGAGGAATGGACAATATTTTGAGAAATTAAAGTAGAGGTTATTTAATAGTTCAATCGTCTCGAAGATATAGCCAACAATATTGTCAGTTTATTTTAAGAAGGTGGCTATAAATCAATTGTCTCTAGCCAACTACAGTCAACTTGGGGTCACAATTGAGTATATATTAACAGTGCATCATTGTTACAAGTTAATTGTCGTATAGATAATATAAATATAAATTATACAAATACACAAAATACAGTTCAGTATAAAAATATATTTATTACAATTTTTGTCGTCAACTAAGCTCTACTTAAATTTGCCAAAATATTGCCAATTCCTCCTGGGACACTCTGTATATGACGTGATCCATTAAAAAGGTAATTTCTTAGGTTAGCTGACCTTGAAACACTTCTATTTCTTATTGCTCTTCTAGTATAAAAACAGTCACGTCAATCATCGCAGGTAGCCGCCCACTGCAAAACGGGTCATTTATGAGGTGTACACAAATTATGCTATGATATTTTCATCTCTATCTAGCCCATGCGCAGAAGAAGACATAAGTTTTGCAGTGGGCGGATACCTGCGACTGTTATACTAGACGACATATAAGTATGATTGGATTAACACTTTGCTGGTTAAATTGGGCTTGTACACGTTTTCTTTACTTTCTTTCTTTTTTCACTTATGTCGACAGGAAAAATTGCGTGGGTGTACTCCCGTGAGCTTTACAAATTTGGCGATAGCGTCAGACATACACGGAAGATTTTTAGAAAAAATATTGTTATTCTCACAGTATTTGAAGATACATGCTTCTACAAATTCGCTTTTCGAGGACTTTTGGAAAAATGCTGGCAAAATGGTTATGGGCCAAAGGTTTTGAGATTATGTACATTTTCTTCACTGTGTTCTTTAAACATTGTAGAGTAATTATTTGACACAAAGCGATTTACACCAAAGTTTAAATAATATTGTTGTGTAAACCACGTTAGGCGGACGTTTTCTTTGGTTCGGTACCTGGAATATCGATGGGTCCCCCTGTATGTCTATTTTAAAGTGTAAATGTGGACGTTAATTTTGAACGCAAATTAGTTGAATTCGTGGCCAATTTTGTAACAGAATTATTAGTTGTTAATTTTGTTTAAATAATTTCTTTGTTTAATTTGTTTATTTTATTGTAAAGTTATTTTGTGTTAGTAAAATTGAGAACATCTGGAACATTTGCGAAGAACTGTAAAAGTTTATTTCAGGTTTTTCTCTGGTGGTACATAAGAAGTTTTTTATCGTAATTAAATTTCAAGATAATAATAATAATAATGGTTTTTATTGATTAGGAAAAAAGATAATACGGCCGTAAGTAGGTCCGGTTTGATCTTTCGATCGCGCACTATATTGGTTAGGAAGGAGAAACGGGAGTGAAGAAAGGGAAAAGGTTTTTAATAAGCAAACCGGACGTTAAACGTAGCCTTTTATTGATTAAGCATTTGTTTGGTGGCGGTGATGCGTTTTAGAAGAAATTTAGTTTGAGTTCCACGAGTATTAAGAGATTGAAGTCGTCGTGTTAGAAGTGAACCTTAAGTCGATTTAAGCAGAATCGTATTTTTCCGGTTTACGAAAAAGTTTAATCGGAGTCCCACGATTATCAAGCACTTGTCGCTTAATAGAGGGCCTTCAAGTTATGAGTTAAAGAGGGTTTGTCTCTCATCAATAGGGCAAATACTATACTTGTAATTACAACGAAGGCAGTGTCGTTTAAATCGAAGTTTGAATGCGAGAAGTGAAGTTCCGAAGTGTATCATAATTATGTGTCTGTTTGTTTGAATATCGCAGTTTTGGGATTATTGGCGCGTTCAAGTAATTAAGTTTTGTTTTATTTAATTGTCTATCGATCGCTTGTAGCGTGGTATGCGTTGTTCTGGTCACGAGTTCCTGTTTTTCTTTCAGCCTCATTGTTCTAAGCCAAATAAATTTGTTGCATTAGTAAATGATTGGTTTTGTGATTAATCGAGTCCAGAATTACGATCTAGATAACAGTGTTCATGTTAAATTTTTCTAATTGTACTCGGAATGACATCAGGTGTCCATTAAAAATGAATTGCTGAAATTAATAAAATTATATGTGCCCTAGAAAAATTATAATTTTTGTTTTGTTAGTACCTGATTTCAAAGGGGGAGGAGATGTATCGCATCGCATGCCATTTAATTGTTATTTCTTTTTTAGAAAAGCCTAACAGATATCGAGATCGAAAAAAATATTTTAATTCGAAACTTAACTGTTTGTGTAAACTACCGGATCACAGCTGGATTTCATCTCGGAAAACAATGGGTTAGCTTGATGTAATTAATTAAGGCGTAGAAAAACCTATCTCATTTCTATAATCTGAATTAATTATTTAATAATTTTAACAAAGTTCAAAAAGTCCTCTGAAAGAGTGCATTACATGCTTACATGGAAAATTAAATATCAATAATAGAAGTATATCGATAATTATTGATAGACCTCGGTTACCGATATTTATCAATAATTTTTCGCAGCCTTAATCGGAATGTGTGAATAAATTCTTCCTATTCGAATATCCATTTACAAGAATTTGTCCCTTTTGCCACAGGTGGCCATTTGAATAAAAAAATTTTGTTCATAGCATCGACGAGGATAAAATATCTTATGTAGTTTAAAGTTTGGAATATTGGATAAAATGAGGATGGCATACGTGGGTTATTAGGTATTAACTGTACATTTGGTTAATAAAGTTTAAAATAACCCACTTATATCATAAATAACTATTTACACAAGGAACAATAATCCACATCGGATAATTATTCTCGGTAGACGGTGTCATAAATAAAGTATTCAAGATAACATCAATACAGGAAACTACATTCCGATAAACATATGTAATTTTTTTCTCGAAAAAATCCACTAATTGCAAACAGATAATTACTAGAGCACAACCATGTGTAGGGCATTTTTTACACATTAATCGACTATATGTAGTACCTACTTTC